GCCTAGCTTCGAACCGAGACCCACAAGGAGACATACCACACATATATTATTCACTCCAAAAGAGACATACCACACTTACTTTATTCCCTCCAAAAGAGACATACCACACTTACTTTATTCTCTCCAAAAGAGACATACCACTCTTACTTTATTCTCTCCAAAAGAGACATACCACACTTACTTTATTCCCTCCAAAAGAGACATACCACTCTTACTTTATTTTCTCCAAAAGAGACATACCACACATACTTTATTCTCTCCGGGACAGGAAGCTGAGGAAACAAGCAGAAAGCCCCCCTTCATACTGTATGTTAACTGGGCCACTTACCGCTACTGAATATATTTCTGTAGATCCCAGAAATGGTTAAATGTGAAGTGCCATCTCATATTATAAAAGTAAAGTGTGAAAGGGCCTCAATTCTCGGTAGAACCCGGGTAATCCCATCGCAGGGAGATGACTCATTCAGATATTCTTAGTGCTGAAATAGTGTTATTTGTTGAGACTTTCTGTTTTACTGAGACAGACTATGTGTACCAGGCAGCAAGTTGGCTACCGAGGACCTCATCAAACCCTCAGCTTCTATCTTAAAGGATAGAGGGCAAGCTGGGCTGGCCGGGGGGCAATATATTCCAGGAGTACTTCTTATTAAAATAGTCCATTGTGCAGGGTTATATTATTTGTATCCTGGAGTGTGTGTGTGTGTGTGTGTGTGTATATATATGTGTGTGTATATACAATATTCCCTTAAGAAAGCCATTATTGGTGGTAAATTTTATCAGACAGGTGTTTGGTACTATGTGCTGGTACTATGTGTTGGGGTCTTGGCGTGCTGGTACTATGTGTTGGGTCTTGACATGCTGGTACTATGGGTTGTGGTTTTGACGTGCTGGTACTATGTGTTGGGGTTTTGACGTGCTGGTACTATGTGTTGGGGTCTTGGCGTGCTGGTACTATGTGTTGGGGTTTTGGCGTGCTGGTACTATGTGTTGGGGTTTTGGCGTGCTGGTACTATGTGTTGGGGTCTTGGCGTGCTGGTACTATGTGTTGGGGTTTTGACGTGCTGGTACTATGTGTTGGGGTTTTGACGTGCTGGTACTATGTGTTGGGTTTTGGAGTGCTGGTACTATGTGTTGGGGTTTTGACGTGCTGGTACTATGTGTTGGGGTTTTGGCGTGCTGGTACTATGTGTTGGGGTTTTGACGTGCTGGTACTATGTGTTACATGTTGCCTTATTGTGTCACTAGTTGTATATTTGATGTTTTATTGTGAAACCGTAATAAAGATGGTTTTAATTGTATCTCGTGGTTTATGTATGTCTCCAGAAGCCCGAGATGGGATTATTATATCTTTTATATTATATGATGATATATTGAGGTTCATGTTAATGTAGTGTATGTGTTTAATGTTTGTAGTTCACCAGCAGCCACATTGCACCCAACCCTGCCAGGGGGACAGACTGGATCTTTACTGATTTCATTGGGGTCATCACTAGGAAAACCATTTAAAAAATAGTACAAATTTTATGCATTTCACAAGGAACTTAAATAAGTGTCCACACGAGGTTCAGATACCCATTCTGGGTGAGACCTTATACAGTGATTATTATAGGATGCTGACACATAGGTTGTGTGGACTATCTTAGGATAGTCTCCTCGATAGTTTGAGGCAAGTAACCTTTTCCTTTTGTCTTTTTATGTTTAATCCATATATTCACTTAAGTTTGCCTTAGTTAATCCGTCATAATTTACCACCTACAGTCTGAAATCAAACTTGACACGTTTTGATTAATAGTTTCCTGCTAATGATCCCCCTGTGTGTAACTTGTAGTGGTGATTGTGGCGAAACCGGCCTCGCCACGTGTCTTTGGAGGGGGCTGCTTGCCCGCCTCTTGCCTTTGGACTATGGACCAGACTTTATGTGAAGGTATTAACCCAGATAGCTATGCCATGGAGCCCATTCGTGTAGTTAAAGACTTCGGCTCCATGGCAATTGAACTGTGTGAATAGGATCTGAGCGCTATTTGGTAGTTTTGTGCGCTCAGATCCCAGCTATCTGGGGATATGTGACATGTCTGTGTTTTATGTGTAAAAGGTGACTTTATGTATTTTAAAGTGTTTTGTGTCTTTTTGCAACCATGTGCTTAATGGAGTCTTGTGTCTGTCCTGGGAGATAATTGAATTACTCTCCAGGATAGAAGACTCTGAAACTGGTTTTGGGCCAGAAAGCCATGCTTCATTTAGTCACAAAGGACTTTCCCTTAACTTTTGAACCCCTGGTCTGATTCGTGCCATTTTTTAATATGTTGTTCCCCTGAATGGATTGATTGTGACTATGTAATTTTATGTGAATGTGATGTATGGTTTTGGAGTTATGAAAGTTGGGTAGAAAGTATGTTTAACTGTATGTATAATTGAGTTTCCTCTCAGGATAAGGGGAGGGAATATGTGGGATGTAACTGTGATGTGATTGGTTGTTTTATACCTCCCTGTGGGCGGTCCTGTATTTGCAAGACTGTAATAAAAACCAGGCTGGGTGTGCCAGCACCGGAGTTCCTGTTTTAACCCTCAAAGTGAAGTGTCGTCTCATTATTGGGGAAGGATTTATTGTATGCTGTTCCAGTTTGACTGCTAGGAGAGTAAACCTATTCGTATGGTTCCTATTCAACTGTCTACAGCATTCATATGCTTGAGAGGATTCATATGCTTCTCCGGTTCGGTGGTTGTGGTGTCTGCTGCAGTGTTTGGAGTCCTCAGGAAGCGCTAGGAGCATCCTTTAACGGAGGTACCCAGTCGGGGTGCCAGGCGATCCGTTACAGTGATGGTGCTAAAATAGGTACCAGATCAGAATGGTCTTGATTTCTCATTTAAAGCGCGTTGTATATCTTTGAGATATATATACACACATGTCACTTACAATCCTCAGTCCTTTGCATGAATTGACACAGCAGATAGCTTGACATTCATAAAATATCTTCCTCTCCATAAATTTTATCCACAAATAAAACGTGTGACTTTGTGTTACGGGAGGGTCAACAATGCACGGCTATACAGAATATCAGATATTTGCTAATGTGCCCTTTTCCTCTGACCCCTGGTATTAAACGCTACCAATAGTATCATTCAGGAGTGGAAACAAAATCCCGTCTGAAGGGAAAATATTGCGTAAGGAACAATTTAAAAAAAAAAAATAATCCAAAGATTGAAATTTGTAAGCAGACGGCTATGGAAATCTCCCTGCTTTGTCATATAATGAATTAGTATTTTATGAGTTTGGACGTACGATCCAGGATTCCCTTTTAGCGAATCCCGTACTATTTCAATGGAAACTGAGACAACGTTTATGTGGAAAATTAGAGATTCTCAGCAGGATTCGTGGACATTTCTAAGAAAAATGAAAAGGATGGGTAGCCAGTTGGCCCTTAAAAACACCTATCTATATTTAATACTGGACGAACGTGGCTGTCGGACAGAAAATCTGCCTCTGTTTTGTTTGCACTTTGTTCCTTAGCACCTTCCGTTAGGAATTTATGACAATGTGGCTGAATAGAGGTTAAACCATTGACTAATGTCTGAAATTATATAATCTACACAATGTCCAGTTGAGGAATGGAGTTAAAATTATTCTCATAGCTCTGAGACGTTATTTCAGGGTTTAAAGAACCGGGGTTACATTATGCCAATCTTACAATGAATACTTATACACACATTTCACATATAAATATCCCATACAGATCTGTAAAAACAAAAAAGGAGACAGGACATAGTGCTTTCTGTAAATTCAATATAGACACTATAGTTCGAAACGCGTTTGCTGTATATAGAGCAGTGACTACCTTCTGGTGCAGCAAGTATTTCGCTGACTACACTGTTTTATATATTTGTAATTATGTTTTTATTAAATAAATAATCGGATTAGCAAGAATCCTGCGGTTTCCTGGTGATATGGGGTCTTTAGCCTGTGTAGGTACCCTGTTAGTTTGAAATATAGAGCCTGGTGCTGCTCTCTACTTGTGAGTTGAATAATACCATCTACTGTCTATATTGAATTTACAGAAAGCACTATGTCCTGTCTCCTTTTTTGTTTTTACAGAGCTCTATGGGATATTTATATGTGAAATGTGTATGTAAGTATTATTTGTGTGTATGCACAGTGAGGTGTATTGATTGTTTTTCTTTTTATAACTTATATTGAAGGTGGTAGGGGAACACCTTTTATACCCTCATATATATCCAGAAGCGCCAATACACTGTATACCCTTTCTTGTTGAACGTTGTATTATATTTGCAATCTTACAATGCTTTCCTTCTCTCCTGTAGTGTGTGTTGTACTCTGGGAGAACAATGAAGGTGCACAGGTGGAAATACACCTGATGATCCAGTAGGGGGAGCAAGAGATCTCTGACTCTGGATGGAGTGGATTTGAATTCCAGTTCACAGATAGAGCGTGAATATATGACATTGTATCCCAGCGCCCCCTGTCTGTAACCAGGAAAAGAGATCTGTGCCATAAACTCCAATCACACAGATCGCTTGCTCCCCCTAATGGAGATTTAGCTACTGCATCTCTTACTTGCTTTAAAGTTACAGAGATATTATTATTATTATTATTATTATTATTATTATTATTAATATAGCGCCAGTAAATTCCATAGCACTGTACAATGGGGTATATATATATTTCTCTCTTCAAATGTAATTACAATCAATACACCTGTCCCCTTTCTTCTTCAGACAGAATTATGTTGAAGTCTTTCTGAGCAATTGCAATTTTCTTACTAATGTCTTACGAATAATACTGATGGATTCTTTGCAGAGCTGCCTGAACTATTGGTCCAGCTGATATCGAGGTAATGTGATGCAGTATTTGACTTACAGGAACATCCCAGTCTCCAAAAGAACTTCCTACCATCCTAATACTCTCAGGCCTCATCTCACACCAAAACTGAGTGAAGCTCTGCGTATAACATCCTGCAGAAAACCCTACCACTCTCAGGCCTCATCTCACACCCAAACTGAGTGAAGCTCTGCGTATAACATCCTGCAGAAAACCCTACCACTCTCAGGCCTCATCTCACACCAAAACTGAGTGAAGCTCTGCGTATAACATCCTGCAGAAAACCCTACCACTCTCAGGCCTCATCTCACACTCAAACTGAGTGAAGCTTTGCGTATAACATCCTGCAGAAAACCCTACCACTCTCAGGCCTCATCTCACACTCAAACTGAGTGAAGCTTTGCGTATAACATCCTGCAGAAAACTCTACAACTCTCAGGCCTCATCTCACACCCAAACTGAGTGAAGCTCTGCGTATAACATCCTGCAGAAAACTCTACCACTCTCAGGCCTCATCTCACACCCAAACTGAGTGAAGCTCTGCGTATAACATCCTGCAGAAAACCCTACCACTCTCAGGCCTCATCTCACACCCAAACTGAGTGAAGCTCTGCGTATAACATCTTGCAGAAAACCCTACCACTCTCAGGCCTCATCTCACACTCAAACTCAGTGAAGCTTTGCGTATAACATCCTGCAGAAAACCCTACCACTCTCAGGCCTCATCTCACACTCAAACTGAGTGAAGCTTTGCGTATAACATCCTGCAGAAAACCCTACCACTCTCAGGCCTCATCTCACACCAAAACTGAGTGAAGCTCTGCGTATAACATCCTGCAGAAAACCCTACCACTCTCAGGCCTCATCTCACACCAAAACTGAGTGAAGCTCTGCGTATAACATCCTGCAGAAAACCCTACCACTCTCAGGCCTCATCTCACACCCAAACTGAGTGAAGCTTTGCATACCACTCTCAGGTACTGACTGAAGCTTGGAAGATACTCCACCTCATTTATTCTTGCATTGATACCATATTATCATGTGTTACTATAGAATTCTTACCATTTATGCCTGTAGCTCCAATGGCTTACGGGCAGGGCTCTCTCCACCTCTTATATTTGTCTGTTTATATTGTAGGTTATCCACTAACTGTACAGCGCTGCAGAATTTGTTGGCGCTTTATAAATACCAGTAACAAATAAATAAAATAAATAGGTATCCCCTTTGTCTTCTATTATCAATCTTTCAATCAACCCTCTCAGCTGTCAATCAGAAAGGTGGGAGGGTCTCCTGTTCATGTGCTTTGAATGAGCATTGCGAGCTGTAGCGAGCAGTATCACTATTCATTGATTCCCTGTGAGACGCACTCTATTAGCAGATCGTGGTGATTGTCGTACATCCACATTAGTTCCCCAATTCTTCATTATGAGAAGCATTTAAATGGCCAGAGTTAGTTGGTGTTGATGATCTCACGGTGGGTGGAGTGGAGTGGACTTGTGGAGAGAAGACTATCTCGCCAATGGAAGATTAAAACCTATCGTAATGAATAATGATCTTACACAGATTCGTTGGTGTAGAAAATTCTGCATGTATTCCTTCTATGGCCCTGAAGTAAAAACAAAATGGCGAGCATTTAAAATAATCAGTGCATTTTGGACAAATTTACATTAAGACAAAGTTCAAAATAGCGATACTGGAACCATTCGCTAAGTGGACATGCTTTGAGTTTGGCTACTCTGGCCTTACATTTATAAATTCACTCTGAATTCTCCCCTTAGTAAATAACCCTGAATGCTTGATTTCGGCACTGACTACGCTCCTTTGTTTCGTCATCCCGCCCTCCACTCAATAAAGCAGGTATGCAGCCAACAACCTTAATATTGCATCATGTACCACTCATATTGGCGACCGTGACATAGTGATGGGCTTAATTAACTGAGCCAGAACGAATGGCGTAGTTAACAGGATCACTCACTGAACGCACAATTCTAATGAATTAAATATGTATGGCAAAAAATATGATCTGGAAGAATTCTCTGACTCATCCGCAGTCAAAGTCGGGCTACTTTAACCTCTGTTTTGCAATACAGACTTCATTTTCTAATATTTGTTCTTTAGTGAGTAAGCCCAGACAGCCTCAGATTCTGTACTTCTGCGGTGGTTGTAAGTAGTTTTGGAAAATCAGGATTTTTTTTTGTACTGTATACAATGTGTACATTTACCTACCTCCCAACATTTCAAATGGACAAACAGGGACACCTTAATCTGAGGTGTGAGTGGGGCGTGGCCTGGGACAGGGCTATTCTGAGAAATTTTAGGTGACTACTTATAACAATTTATGTAACTAAAATGTAATTTTGAACAAAAACAATGTAACTTATTTACACAGACTGATTATTAAACACATTGATTGTAGTATAAAGACACATTGCTGGGAGTATTATTGCTGTGGAGCTCTGTTATACACTCAGACACATTACTGGGAGTATTATTGCTGTGGAGCTCTGTTATACACTCAGACATATTACTGGAAGTATTATTGCTGTGGAGCTCTGTTATACACTCAGACACATTACTGGGAGTATTATTGCTGTGGGCTCTGTTATACACTCAGACACATTACTGGGAGTATTATTGCTGTGGAGCTCTGTTATACACTCAGACATATTACTGGGAGTATTATTGCTGTGGAGCTCTGTTATACAGACACATTACTGGGAGTATTATTGCTGTGGAGCTCTGTTATGCACTCAGACACATTACTGGGAGTATTATTGCTGTGGAGCTCTGTTATACACTCAGACACATTACTGGGAGTATTATTGCTGTGGAGCTCTGTTATACACTCAGACACATTACTAGGAGTATTATTGCTGTGGGCTCTGTTATGCACTCAGACACATTACTGGGAGTATTATCGCTGTGGAGCTCTGTTATACAGTCAGACACATTGCTGGGAGTATTATTGCTGTGAGCTCTGTTTATACACTCAGACACATTACTGGGAGTATTATTGCTGTGGAGCTCTGTTATATACTCAGACACATTACTGGTAGTATTATTGCTGTGGAACTCTGTTATACACTCAGACACATTACTGGTAGTATTATTGCTGTGGAGCTCTGTTATACACTCAGACACATTACTGAGTATTATTGCTGTGGAGCTCTGTTATACACTCAGACACATTACTGGAGTATTATTGCTGTGGGAGCTCTGTTATACACTCAGACACATTACTGGGAGTATTATTGCTGTGGAGCTCTGCTATACACTCAGACACATTACTGGGAGTATGTGCTGTGGAGCTCTGTTATACACTCAGACACATTACTAGGAGTAGTATTGCTGTGGGCTCTGTTATACACTCAGACACATTAGTATTATTGCTGTGGAGCTCTGTTATACACTCAGACACATTACTGGGAGAGTATTATTGCTGTGGAGCTCTGTTATACACTCAGACACATTACTGGGAGTATTATTGCTGTGGAGCTCTGTTATACACTCAGACACATTACTGGGAGTATTATTGTTGTGGAGCTCTGTTATACTCTCAGACACATTAATGGGAGTATTATTACTGTGGAGCTCTGTTATACTCAGACACATTACTGGGAGTATTATTGCTGTGGAGCTCTGTTATACACTCAGACACATTACTGGGAGTATTATTGTTGTGGAGCTCTGTTATACACTCAGACACATTACTGGGACTATTATTGCTGTGGAGCTCTGTTATACACTCAGACACATTACTGGGGAGTATTATTGTTGTGGAGCTCTGTTATACACTCAGACACATTACTGGGGAGTAGTTATTGGCTGTGGAGCTCTGTTATACACACACAGACACACAGCTGGGAGTATTATTGCTGTGGGAGCTCTGTTATACACACAGACACATTACTGGAGAGTATATTACTGTGGAGTTTGTTATACACACAGACACATTACTGGGAGTATTATTACTGTGAGTTTCTTGTTATACACACAGACACATTACTGGGAGTATTATTGCTGTGGGGCTCTGTTATACACCTGTGACACACATTGGGAGGCTATCGCTGTGGGGCTCCTGTTATGTACACTGTGACACATTACTGGGAGTATTGGCTGGTGTGGGCTCATATACACTCAGACATATTACTGGGAGTATTATTGCTGTGGAGCTCTGTTATACACACACACATTACTGGGAGTATTATTGCTGTGGAGCTCTGTTATACACTCAGACACATTACTGGGAGTATTATTGCTGTGGGCTCTGTTATACACTCAGACACATTACTGGTAGTATTATTGCTGTGGAGCTCTGTTATACAGTCAGACACATTGCTGGGAGTATTATTGCTGTGAGCTCTGTTTATACACTCAGACACATTACTGGGAGTATTATTGCTGTGGAGCTCTGTTATATACTCAGACACATTACTGGTAGTATTATTGCTGTGGAGCTCTGTTATACACTCAGACACATTACTGGGAGTATTATTGCTGTGGAGCTCTGTTACACACTCAGACACATTACTGGGAGTATTATTGCTGTGGAACTCTGTTATACACTCAGACACATTACTGGTAGTATTATTGCTGTGGAGCTCTGTTATACACTCAGACACATTACTGAGAGTGTTATTGCTGTGGAGCTCTGTTATACACCCAGACACATTACTGGGAGTATTATTGCTGTGGAGCTCTGTTATACACTCAGACACATTACTGGGAGTATTATTGCTGTGGGACTCTGTTATACAGTCAGACACATTACTGGGAGTATTATTGCTGTGAGCTCTGTTATACACTCAGACACATTACTGGGAGTATTATTGCTGTGGAGCTCTGTTATATACTCAGACACATTACTGGGAGTATTATTGCTGTGGGGCTCTGTTATACACTCAGACACATTACTGGGAGTATTATTGCTGTGGAGCTCTGTTATACACTCAGACACATTGTTGGGAGTATTATTGCTGTGGAGCTCTGTTATACACTCAGACACATTACTGGGAGTATTATTGCTGGGGAGCTCTGTTATACACTCAGACACATTACTGGGAGTATTATTGCTGTGGAGCTCTGTTATACACTCAGACACATTACTGGGAGTATTATTGCTGTGGAGCTCTGTTATACACTGAGACGCATTACTGGGAGTATTATTGCTGTGGAGCTCTGTTATACACTGAGACGCATTACTGGGAGTATTATTGCTGTGGAGCTCTGTTATACACTCAGACACATTACTGGGAGTATTATTGCTGTGGAGCTCTGTTATACACTCAGACACATTACTGGGAGTATAATTGCTGTGGAGCTTTGTTATACAGTCAGACACATTACTGGGAGTATTATTGCCGTGGGGCTCTGTAATACACTCAGACACATTACTGGGAGTATGATTGCCGTGGAGCTCTGTTATACACTCAGACACATTACTGGGAGTATGATTGCCGTGGAGCTCTGTTATACCCTCAGACACATTACTGGGAGTATTATTACCGTGGAGCTCTGTTATACCCTCAGACACATTACTGGGAGTATGATTGCCGTGGAGCTCTGTTATACACTCAGACACATTACTGGGAGTATTATTGCTGTGGGGCTCTGTTATACTGGGAGTATTATTGCTGTGGAGCTCTGTTATACACTCATACACATTACTGGGAGTATTATTGCTGTGGAGCTCTGTTAAACACTCAGACACATTACTGGGAGTATTATTGCTGTGGAGCTCTGTATAACACTCAGACACTCAGACACATTACTGGGAGTATTATTGCTCTGGTGCTCTGTTATACACTCAGATACATTACTGGGAGTATTATTGCTGTGGAGCTCTGTTATACACTCATACACATTACTGGGAGTATTATTGCTGTGGAGCTCTGTTATACACTCAGACACATTACTGGGAGTATTATTGCTGTGGAGCTCTGTATAACACTCAGACACTCAGACACATTACTGGGAGTATTATTGCTCTGGAGCTCTGTTATACACTCAGATACATTACTGGGAGTATTATTGCCGTGGAGCTCTGTTATACACTCAGACACATTACTGGGAGCATTATTGCTGTGGAGCTCTGTTATACACTCAGACACATTACTGGGAGTATTATTGCTCTGGAGCTCTGTTATACACTCAGACACATTACTGGGAGTATGATTGCTGTGGAGCTCTGTTATACACTCAGACACATTACTCGGAGTATTATTGCCGTGGAGCTCTGTTATACACTCAGACACATTACTTACTGGGAGTATTATTGCTGTGGTGCTCTGTTATACACTCAGGCACATTACTGGGAGTATTATTGCTGTTGAGCTCGGTTATACACTCAGACACATTATTGGGAGTATTATTGCTGTGGAGCTCTGTTATACACTCAGACACATTACTGGGAGTATGATTGCTGTGGAGCTCTGTTATACACTCAGACACATTACTGGGAGTATGATTGCTGTGGAGCTCTGTTATACACTCAGACACATTACTGGGAGTATTATTTCTGTGGAGCTCTGTGATACACTCAGACACATTACTGGGAGTATTATTTCTGTGGAGCTCTGTGATACACTCAGACACATTACTGGGAGTATTATTGCTGTGGAGCTGACACATTACTGGGGGTAGCTGTGGAGCTCTGTTATACACTCAGACACATTACTGGGAGTATTATTGCTGTGGAGCTCTGTTATACACTCAGACACATTACTGGGAGTATTATTGCTGTGGAGCTCTGTTATACACTCAGACACATTACTGGGAGTATTATTGCTGTGGAGCTCTGTTATACACTCAGACACATTACTGGGAGTATTATTGCTGTGGTGCTCTGTTATACACTCAGACACATTACTGGGAGTATTATTGCTGTGGAGCTCTGTTATACACTCAGACACATTACTGGGAGTATTATTGCTGTGGAGCTCTGTTATACACTCAGACACATTACTGGGAGTATTATTGCTGTGGAGCTCTGTTATACACTCAGACACATTACTGGGAGTATTATTGCTGTGGAGCTCTGTTATACACTCAGACACATTACTGGGAGTATTATTGCTGTGGAGCTCTGTTATACACTCAGACACATTACTGGGAGTATTATTACTGTGGAGCTCTGTTATACACTCAGACACATTACTGGGATTATTATTGCTGTGGAGCTCTGTTATACACTCAGACACATTACTGGGAGTATTATTGCTGTGGAGCTCTGTTATACACTCAGACACATTACTGGGAGTATTATTACTGTGGAGCTCTGTTATACACTCAGACACATTACTGGGAGTATGATTGCCGTGGAGCTCTGTTATACAGACACATTACTGGGAGTATTATTGCTGTGGAGCTCTGTTATACACTCAGACCAAAATAGGGACTGTCCTTCCTAAACTGGGCAGACTAGATGGCCCAAATGGTTCTTATCTGCCGTCACATTCTATGTTTCTATATTCCATTCTATGCCAGCTCTGTGTTCTTTATCGGTTACATTCTATGTTTCTATGTAAACAGGGACCCTTGGTAAGTACCGGTATTTATATACATTTGTCAGTTTGATAGCCATTTTGTTAGTTTGCCCATCACAATATGCAGAATTTTGAAGTATTCAAGAAGGGAGCCCTAAAGGAACAACTAAGATGATTAATTGTAATGCGTTCCAGCAGCAAATGAATCATTCATACTTAAGGGCAGCATTTCTTGTGTACAGCCCTACAGTTTACAGGAGTTTGCATGTGTAAAATAAAACAGAAACAAATCGGGTAACAGTAGCTACAGTGTGTTCTAAATGTCTACCCTTAAAGGGACACTACAGGCACCAAAACAACTGTAGTTTAATGAAGCAGTTTTGGTGTGCAGCTCATGCTCCTGCAATCTCACTGCTAACTTATATGTAATTTAAGAGTTAAATCACTTTGTTTATACAGCCCTGATCACACCTCCCTGCGTGTGACTTACACAGCCTTCCTAAACACTTCCTGTAATGAGAGAGCTCATGCTTACACTTCCTTTATTGCAAATGATGTTTAATTTATAATTTGTTATCTTGTACTCTGCTACCTTCTAGACACTGCAGGATACTCATGTGTGAGACTGAAATTCAATTTACAAAGCAGGATACTGAAAAAAAAAAAAAATAAAGTTTATTAAGCAAGTTAACATCTGATTGAAAATTAAACCATATCTATTCATGCAGGCTGTGTCAGTCACCGCCAGGGGAGGTGTGGTTAGGGCTGCATAAACAGAAACAAAAGTGATTTAACTCCTAAATGGCAGAGAATTGAGCAGTGAGACTGCGTGGGGCGTGATCTATACACCAACACTGCTTCATTAATCTAAAGTTGTTTTGTTGACTATAGTGTCCCTTTAAATATAGGCGTTATTACATAGCAAATAGTTTGAATGGCGTTTCTACCCGGCTTTATGTTTGCTTTAAATCAATTTGAAAAAGCCACTATGACCACTGGATACAAATTTGGGACAGTAAGGAACTCTGGGACATGCTGGTTACGGGAAACATATTCTGTGTTTGCAAACATCTATTCTCAAGCGCCATCTAGTGGGATATTTTAAATTTTAGTCTTTATACTGAAGTAGCAATTTAACCACCGATTCAATGACCAATTACAGAGAAAATAGGTTTCCATTAGACACCGTACATGGCAAAGTAAAAAGCAATGTTTTAGGAGAATACTGAGCGCGTCCTGGTTAAATGACCCAATTTGAAAGTGCACAAATGCATCCCAGGTAGTGTAACATCAAATGTTGCTGCCAGACGATGGTTCTTCCTCCCTCTAAACAGACGATGAATACTAAGAGAATTGTGTATGGCAAAAAATGTTCAGTTCCTCTGTATATATTTTGCAGAATACAAGCACAGTTTCCTCCCATTTGCTTCACAGATCAACTGAGAAGAATTAACCAATAGAGAGGAAAAGGGAGGAGGAATAAAAAAAATATTTATTAAATAATTTATATATTGTGTGTATATATTATATATAGATATATAAGATGCCAGAATATCAGTATGCAGACAATCCAATCTACACATATAAAAATATATTTATAAATTTGTGGTCGGTAACATAAAGGCCATGTAAAAACATTATTAATGGAACCGGTCGGTAATGGTGAGCCAAAACCGACGTAAGGGTAGGCCTGCAATAAAAGAGGGCGAAAGGAATGCAGAAAAAACCCCCACACTTTATTGCTTATGTTAGACGGTTCTTCAACGCTTTCCTCAATTCTTTCTCTGGTTGAGAAATATTCCTATTATATACTAAGCTGCCCAACGACCTAGGCTTTTATATGAACAGGTGTATTGGTACTGGATGCAGCTGAAGTCGCTCCAATTCTAAATGAGTGGCCGGAGTATAAGGCTGTGTTAAGACCTAACCTAATGCATAAAGTCCTGATATAGAACATGCGTTTGGAAGGACCACCTAGTAGTAATTTTGTATTATATCAATTCAGCTCATTTCAGCCAATTCATTCCAGTTCGATTATAACTGGAGAAAAGCTGTAACAGCTAACATATTACAGACCATGGCGTCATTCTGAAAGAGACTATTGTATCTATATAGAGACATTTCTATTACATAGTTATATATGTTTTTTATGGAATTCAGATACATTTTTTAATGAATACATGGTAACAAACCATAGGTGAAATATTGCACAATTTGTATTAGATTCCATTATTATTTATTTTTGATAAGCTATTAATATTTGCTCCATATATCATCATTTTAAAGGAAAACCACTCCTGAAATATATTAGATTTTATCTGATATTTTATTTTCTCATACTGCTATACGAGGCCCCAGAATACTACAACAAACAGCTGTATACCCCTATGATGTAGGGGGTAGGGGTAGTTAGGAAAGTTAAGTTAAAGAGATACGTTGCTTCAGAATACTGCAAAATGTTCCAGGGGTGTATTAATAGTTAGAGTCTGGACTTACACCACATTGTGACAATCCATCTCTAATGCGGACAATTTACAAATCCTGCCAGACTGCAAATGATCCCACAATTATGAAATAAACACAGACATGAAGATAGTGGATTTATTTTTCAGTTAATGCCATTCATGTTGTCAGACAGGCATAATATCCAACACTACACAAAATAAATACATTTGCAGAATTACATACATCTGGTTACCCACAAACGGATATAAAATTTTCGGCAACACAACACATTCCATTAAGCAGGACAACAATGTTTTATTAAAATTACAGAATTAGAAATTGGATTTTGGTTAAAGGAGGAAAAAAAACCCCACTCAAACAGGTTATTGATCAAACTATCAAATTATGCTTAATTCTCCATTGAAATCAGTACTGAAATGAGTGATCTGGGCATTATCGGAAATATCATCAATATATCGTTCTTTCCCTTTTTGATCACTGATGTGTACGTACCTGTAATTAGTTTTAGAACTTTACCTAGCCCTCAGATATGAGTTAGGCTTTTCACAACAAGTGAACCATTTTTACTTTTTGAGACATTTAAAATGTATTCTATGACTATATACAAGTAGGACAAACAGGTTAAATAAAATTAATAAATAACTTGATTAAATTGTATATGTTTCAACAGCTAAACTAGGTTTATGAAGAACTGAAAACCAAATCTGGCAATATTTACCATTATGTTTCAAATTCATTGCACACAAAAATAAATAAATGACCTCAGATCTGTTGGTCAGACTATTTTCCAAAAAGATTGAGATTTGTGTTGATGACATACCATAGTGTTTTTTATGTTTGTTCTTTTTTGGGGGAGGGGGGGGGGCTGGGCGGGGAGGAGGAGTGGGTGGGCAGAGAGAGAACTATAAAATCTAGGATGAAATGAAAAATAAAATTTTCAAACAGAACAAATTATGTATATTTATAGATGCAGCAAATTCCCTTTAATTTTACAGAATTCAGTGGATCTAATTGTGCTAATGTATCTTGTGAGGGAAATGGGTTAGACAAATATAATTTAAGGTGCTGTACTACTCTCTCTTATGAATATATTTTTTGTGTGAATGAGTAGATATTACTGTCACATATTCATCCGCTTATAGAAAAGTGATTAATGACATTTACTGTCCACACAGGAAAAGTTGTGCCGAGCAGCAACCTAATCCACAGAAGGGTTAATGCTGAGCAGCAATTATGCAAATGAAACCTGGTAACTGACTTTGGGGTCAAAGGCCGGTTACAGCCTATCAGAACTAAAGGAGGGGTATTTAGGCCCAGATCTCAGCCTGCTCAGTGCCCTGTCGTGGTTTCCCTTGTGGTTGTCTAAGAGCGCGTTCCTGTTTATAGTTTTCTACCTGTTTTTTTACTTTGGCTTTGTTTATTGACTTCTCTATATTCTAGTATCCTGACTCCTGGCTTTCCTCATCGCTGTGTCCCTTTCTGTGTTCCCTGACCTCGGCTAGTATTTTTTTACTATTCTTTGTACGTTAAATCCGGCCATTCTAAGGACCCGTAATACGTTACTTATTTGTCATCTGTGCTGTACAGTTCTACGTGCTGGATCAAACAGTAATCCTGACAATTACAAACCAAATCCTCCTTATTAGTGCTGAATATTTATCCTTTGCCCAGGAATAATTAAAATCACATTGAATTCATATTTCTGCCAGGGGGTTAATGTAACCTCGGAGTCATGTAACACCAGGAGATTTAATTGATAGGTTATTCAATATCTATTGCCAAAGCAGCGGATACATTAATTCTAAAAATTAAAATGAAGGAACAAATAAAATAACTTATTTTTATAAGAACTGCACCTTCGACAAAGTAAACCGATTGAATGTTTCTATTAGTTCATATTCGAGTGTGAAAAGGCCAATAGGTTTTTAACTTCGTCTAAGGCAAAGGAAAGGTTTTTTTACTGTAAGAACAATCAGGATGTGGAATTCTCTGCCTGAAGAAGTGGTTTTATCAGAGTCCATACAGATGTTCAAACGGCTACTAGATGCATACTTGCAAGAACAGAATATTTAAGGATATAATCTTTCAATGTAGGGTAATAACTGCTTGATCCAAGGATAAATCTGACTGCCATTCTGGGGGTCAAGAAGGAATTTTTTTCCTAGCTTGTTGCAAAATTGTGCTTCAAACTGGGTTTTTTTGCCTTCTTTTGGATCAACAGCAAAAAACAAATGTGAGGAAGGCCGAACTTGATGGACGCAAGTCTCTTTTCAGCTATGTAACTATGTAACTATGTAACTTTGTAACTTCAAATGAGGAAACAAACATTTTGGCTCTAAACCACATGCGTATTAGTAGGTATTGAATATCTTCTGTGTAATCACTGTTTCCCACAGTCCAGGATCCAGGATTCACATGTTATAATCCCTGATCACAGTATTAATATTACACGTTAATGGTTTAACTATGACACATTTTAATACATATTTCAAGTCATTAAAGTAACAAGCTGGAAAATAAAAATCTATTAAGACTCCCTTAAAATGGTAAACATCATATGTATCCTTAGCAAATGAAAAGGCTCCAACTTCCCCAAATTAGAAACCTCTTCCTCGTGTTCGTTCAGTAAACTATATTCAGCCAGGCGTGTCCGTGTTCCCTCTGTTAATTGAGAAGTGCTATTTGAAATAAAGTTTGCGATAGTTGAGCACCTTTGAGGTTTAGAACTGGTACCCCACGTTAAGAGAGAGAGGGTGTTCTAGATATCATGAAATCTTTATAATTTATCCGTGCGCTGTCCATAATTATTAACCTTTCCTTCCAAGTGACTAAAGTCTTTTGTTTCCCTTTATCCAATTTGTTACAGCCTCTACAGTACAATTTTTTTAATCCTTTGGTTGGAAACACCACTTATCTGACCAAATACCATGCAATTAAGTATTTGCTTTTATATATTAAAATGATACCGCGGATGCTATAATAAATTATTTTATTTTAATAAAACAACATCAATTGATTGATTGATCTAACCATGGCAGTATTGACGGATGGGCAGCCCCCCTCCTCACAGCAGGAAAGGGAATAAGACTACTACCATTTACCATCAGGTAAACGTTTCCCCCCATCTTCAATAAACTAAATTGAATATTAAATAGTAATATATAAAGTGCTATATTTGTAAAAATTATTAGTGTTACTTAAATATTATTAGTGCTACTTAATAAGTGTTTTAGTTGGCTATATTTACATATCACATATCTCATTGTTTGCAGGAACCCCAGAGTTTTAAATTAGTTGTAACAATAAAATAAATTGCATTTGTGTTTCAATGGCACAATGTGTCCTATGGTATCTTTACTTACTTGACAATATTATGAATATCTAAAGCTGGGTTTATAATAGAGAATGGACACACAGAACAAAAAAAAAAAAATTATTTCTAAATATTGTATAGATGTTTATCTGTAAATAACTTAAAGAATTAACCCAGGATACTCTTTTTGGCACATCGGGTCAGATATATTGGGACATTTAAATATATATTTCCATATTAGTAACTCTTCGATATAAGCTTTAGGGAGATTTCAGGACTGGCCACAAAGTCACTTTCATATTTTAATGTATTTATTAAATTTTGCAAACTCTGCTTTTATCTCCTTAACAAGTCTGCATATTGTGTTTTGGGTCATGTTTAAAAAAATTTAAAAAAATAAGTTTTAATTTATTTCTCTCGAATATGTTTTACTTTAGCCATTACTATTTATTTAATACTAAATAATTAGATCTCCCTTGAATTGAATTTTATTTAATGTTCTAATAGGACTAGTCCTGTCTACTATGTGAGTGGGGAGTTGTTTTTTGAGACAGGAGTATAATAAACAATTAACAGTTTTTTTTGTTTTCATTTTCACCTCAAAATATAATTTTAGTATAAGTGACTTTATTTACTCACGCTGGGTTTTGCCAGATTATAGTGTCAGTACAATGCAGGTTTCTGTGTAAGTCATGGTACCTGCGCCATTTGTTTTTAGAAGATCTCTTGAGCCCTGGCAGTGCCACGCTGGCTATCCAGTTACTGGGATCATGTAGATGCTAGATTGTCTCTCTTACTGTAGGAAGAAGATGACAGGCGAGGCCGCAACTAAGGGTTTTTTGCAATTTTATATTATTGTTTTTGTTGCAAACTCTCTGCGTTGAACAGAATAAACTAATTTGTAAAGAAGAAAGTAAAAACAAATTTATCAAAACTCTGTAAACCTGGAATGATCAAAATACAAAACCAAAAAAAGTTATCTTTCAGCCCCCCCGTCCCCCCAAATTAAAGTGACTCAAGTTCTGAGAGCGTGGGGCACGCAGGGTTTATCCCATAGCAGGACAGCTCGAACTTGACTTTCTGATCACATCTGAATCTTTCATCTATGTTCAAGCAGGCTATTGATCAGTAATATTAGAATCCCATCTGTAATTTGCATCTATTTATGGAAATGTATGGCCAGCTGAATTTGCAAATAAGCAAAGCTTGTTATTTTAGTCAAATGACATCACCCTGGCTTGTTTCGATTTTTAACCCTTAACGCTGTTATTCTTTGTTTTTGGCAAATGAAACGCGGAATTGTTTGGGGTTCTTTGCTATATTTCGCAGAACATATTCCCCTTGTGGTTCTAAACTCTCAGGCGACCAGAGTCCAAAGAGCATGTAGTGTAGATTCTGTTTGTATGAGTTCTCTTATATCCATTAAATCCATTGATAGGTACATCGATACAAGTCATCTAAAAGGTGGCCAAGGTTACGTTCACAGGTGGAGGTAAAACAATTCAAAAATGAATCCTTCTTGTTTTTAAACACTTTACGTTCCTCGTCCTACTAGGGAACGATTGCTAAGTGCCGAATGTCTTAGTCTTCCAGTGCCCAAAATCCAGTGTTGAAATCCCATGTTCCCTTTTTATCAAAGCAGCATTACGTATCAGTGTCTGCACAATCTAATTGTGCATCTCATAGTCTCCGTGTCAAGCTGAACTCCTATCCAAAGAGTTCGCCTCGCAAGACGATCTAGGTGGTGAGTTTGGAGTAACTTGGAGGAGAGAACTTTCTTCTCAGGTATTTAAGAACATACAGCGGGAGACAGCTGACCAGTGTGATTACCGTGACCTTCCACAGGAATGAGAGCGTTGTTATAAAGTAAACATCTGGAATTAAAGGAAAAATAATTAGATTTTAATGGGAAACTACACCATAAAATAAAACATTGAATATCAACTAGAAGTTCTGTTAACTTTTAAAATGTATATTACGAATGTAGCAGATTAGATCAGATTCCAGCACAGTCCTGGCACAGTCAGGGCACACATTGCATTGGAGGTGGGGAAATTCTCCGCCTCTCTCCATGCTGACTGTTAGGGGCAAAGGCCGGAGTTTATAGCAATGATTGACAGTGAGCTAAGTTGGCAGATTTGTAATATTAAATGTTATTTTTCAGACCTCAAACATATGGATAAGTAAACACTAAACCCCCCCAATGTTGGCAAATTTCAATTGCAAAATGTAAGTAAAAACCACTGATATGGGGGAAAATTCTCAGAAAATTCTAATTTTTAGCCTCAGTATTACCATTGGGATTTTGTTCTTAAATATTAAATAACCCTGATAATAGTAAAAATCTTGGACCTTTATTAGGTTTTAACAATGTTAACAAAAACACACTTATTTTACTAATTTAAAGATGTATAAAGCGGGTGAGGTTTTATGGTTGTCCTTCTGCAAAACAGATAACTTTTTCAAATCATTTTGTTTTTAGGAAGAGAACGCGTCCCCCATATTTTCCATGGACTGGTAGTATCTGACTCACACCCTTCCCAGCGTTTCCTAGGGGTAAGATGTATGAAGCTGTGGATAGCTGCTGTGTTACATGATGAGCCGTGACAGCACACCGTTATCTTGTGTAATGTGAGCAAGAAAATGAATTTCTCTCCTGTCGGTGACGCTTTGAGTGATATTTATTCACAATGTGTGAACTTTCACCCAAAGTCTGTATCAGAAATGATTGGAAATTAAACCTATTTTCTTCAGTTTTTATGAAGATAAACTTTTTTTTTTTCTTTCAATTTTTCTGCAGATCTCTTCTGCACAATATTACATTGTTACCCAATACCTGCTATTATATTTATACCAAAAAAAATAAAAAAATTCGCTTTTATTCATATTAAAAAGAAGAGTGAGTATTGTAAAAGATAGACTTTTTTTCTAGCTTAAATGCTTGTGAATTTAATAGTATTTGTCTTTTTCCAGATTGTCTTATGGTAAAAGTATTGAGGTGCCTATACAATAAACACTGTGTTGTTGGGAGACAAGAACCGGTTTGTAAATTTGCAAGCTGTACTTGATTCACAACTTTACGTTTAGGGGAATATACGAATATATATTTATTTATTTTTTACTAATTTTGCCTTACTTAAGCAGCGCTCGGATGTGGAATTAAATGCATTAGTATAAGAACTCCCCAAAATCTGGCATAGATGATTTAGGAAACACGGATACCCCTTTTGTACAGCATGCTTCCAATTGCATGGTTTTGTATTGGAAAAAGCACGAACAGCAGAATTTGGAAGGAATGTTTTAGGAGCCAGCAGTGACTTGCAATGTTCCTAAACACTTCCTGTAAAGTGAGATTTAATGCTTACACTTACTTTGTTTAATTTAGAACATTTTGTTTCATGCAGGCTGTGTCAGTCAGTGTGACTAGGTCTGTATAAATAAAACTGTTTCACTCCTAAATGGCAGAGAATTGAGCAGTGAGACTTCAGATGAATGATCTATACTCCAAAACCGCTTCATTAATCTAAAGTTGTTTTGGTGACCAGAATGTCCTTTTAAAACACAATTTATATGCAATGCCCCGGTTTGATCCCTGTCCTGACGCTCTATCTCCTTTCACAGTACGAGTGCCATTACAGGAGATCTGTTCTTGGGTTTTAACAGAATAGCAAATGGAAGCAGTAAAGTGTGCGCCTATGATGGCTCATGGCTACACGCTGTAACGGAGCTCCTTGTACTCCGACTGAGTACCCTCCGTTGATGGATGCTCCTAGCGCTTCCTGAGGACTCCAAGCACTGCAGCAGACACCACAACCACCGCAGACTCCGCCACCGCCGTATCTTGACTGGAGTCTTCCTTCCACCCTGGATCAGCTTCTGTTCTCCAGGACTGTGTGGGAAAGAACTCTTCCTTCCATCCTGTACAAACCTCCAGCATCCAGGACTGTGTGGTGAAGACCCCTCCTCCAAGGAGAGCGTGTCAGGAATAAGCTCTTAAAAGAGCTAAGTGATTCAAACTCAGGGGAACATGCAGAGCAATCCCCAGAGTGATTATAACAGCTCCCTCCAATAACGAGACAAGGCTACGTTTAGAGGGATCAAGAAGAACTGTCAAAACCTTTATTTCCCTTGGGACCAGCCAATAGGGTCACCACAATAACATTGTTGTGAAACCTCAATAAAATCACTAACAGTCAAAACATATCAAACAACACACAGTGACTTATCACAACACAATGGCACATTTTTAAAGGGGTGGGGGGAGACAATATTTAACAGTAAATATCTCACCTGCCTGCAGAATTAGCAATATGCAAATCTACCCGAATATGCAAATGACCCAGTCTTGCAATTCAGGTAGTGCATATTGCTGTTGCTACCAACAGAGGGCACTAGACAAGCTCCATAGCCAAACCCACCTAGTTGGTAGCAAACCTCAGCAATACAATAGAGCAGGCAATACATTACACAGTACACACACACACACACACACACTATAAACAATTACATTACACACACCCTGCACCTATAATGGGTACAGGGTGACTAAAACATAAGATAAATAAAGCAGCCCACATAAATAGTCTGTCTGAAGGTAGACTAGGGGCTTTAAAGCCAGATACATGAAAGAGTCATAGTCACAGAGGAGGAGGCTGGCAAGTAGGCCTCTCCAGGACCAAGTGGCGAAGAGCACGTCGTCACATACGCCATGACATCACATTATGGCAGATTCCAGCACTAGAGGGGTACATTATCAGAGTATTTGTATTAAAGCTCCAGAAGATGGGGGTAAATCTTGCACCCTTGGTCCCAGCTGATCCTTTATCCCACCATATTGTCTGTGTGTTCAATCTGCAACATGCCAACACTCGCACACGCTTACCAATAAATTCATGTAAGAAGACCAGAGACGTGATGTAGCAGGACAAACTCAGCAGCTCCGCTACAATCATGAGCCAATGCCATGTCTGGATGGTCAGCGCCACCATGAGCAGCTCTGTGAGAATCAGAGACGTGAACGAAATCGCTACAATGTGGACGAATTCTGACTCAAACAGCAGCAACGCTCCATACATGATGATGCTTCCTGTGAAGAGAAATATTAAAACCACGTTACAACTACATTAACGAGTTCATCCAAACACAGCTTTTTACTTTGGGCTGTTAAAGAAGTGATGGGTGTGGATCAGGTTTGTTTATTGTGGGAGAGAATCAATGTGTTGTGTATAGTCCTAATAATACACAGAGTTACAATAAAAACACAGAATAAATCAATAAAATGAAGGAGATGTGGCATGGGAAAATCATTTCTGGTTTCTGTATAAACTGTAAAGAAAATGACTGTTAAAGCTAACAGATATTGAGATTAGTTCCGTAAACAGTGAATTAAGAACCCGGTAACAAATATCTCACTCTATAGTAAAAGCTCGGCTGTTTTAGTCTGAATTTTGCACTTCAAGTTTCAATTAAATTTGTAAATATATGGTTCAATACATCAGTTACAATTACTTTGCATTGTTTGGTTTTAACTATATTATTAAACATTAAAGATACATGCCAAGCTGTAGTGGTTATGGTGCCCCTCCATGTAAGGAGTGAGACGGTTTTAGAAAAGTTTGCTTAACATGGTGTCCACAGCACGCCGCTCCATGCCTCCACTACTTCATAAGGACAGATAGAAACACTTAGACGAGAGCTCATTAGCCACCACGAGCTAAGCATTGAAATGCAGGACGAGCTGTGTGTGCATTTTAAATTTCCCAAACTGGCTACTGGTAAAAGTATTGAGGGGCCTATACAATAAACACCGTGCTAGTAAATTTGCAAGCTGTACTTGCAAATGACAGCTGATCGCTCCGCCAGGTAAGAAGTAAAATGTTTCTAAAACGGATTGACTACTTATAATGGGGGAGGGGAGACCAGACACTCCTACAGTGGTTATGGTGTTTTGCGTGTTCCTTAATTACATAATTGTTCCGTGAAGAAAAAATTAGACAGACACAAAGCTATATACATTCTTACCTTGGTAGATACTGATTAGGACCCAGATTAAAAATGTTTTGTATGACAAAGGTCGACCCTAAAATAAATAAAAACAATGTAAAAGGGAATTTAGTAAATTACATAAAATCCATATATTTTTCTTAGACACCAATTCAGTAAGAGATTTATAGGCCATGATCATGTTACGTTTCATGCAACATGCTACGAACTTTTACTTCAAGACAAGTGGCATTGTGGATTCAAAATAAATCGATTTCCCTATGTTAATAAACCACAAAAGGTAAAAACAGAACATTGCTGGCATTCCATGTAAATAACAATATTTCAAAAAGAAAAACGTCATGTGTTTAAAATGTTAGTGTTTGTTAGAATATTAGTAAACTAAAAGCACAGCGTGTAGCTAAGCTTTAGTTGGGGACTGGGCTTTGCATTGATCTCAGATGTAACAGTTCTGCTCTTAAACGCAGCAGTCACTTAACATATTGTTATTCATTTGACTAATTACTTGTTAAACAGACTGAAGAGAAAACAATGTGAGTGTACGTTTGTTCCTGATATGTAGAATGATTTGCCAGCAGGAGTTATTTAAAGGGACAGTAATATATCGATATGTTTTTATATAGAACAGAGAACATTAAATAGAAAAAAATTAAAAACCTTGCTTTGCTACTTTGTCATTTATTTATTTTTTTATATGTGGGTTTAACCCTTGGTGGTAAACATCACTTCCAGCCATAAAAATATGACTTTATTCCTTCTGTATTAGTGCTTTGCAACAAATTAGCTCGAACTCAGCAAGATCCATTTCTTTCTCCAACGTGTCATGAATAAAGTAAATAACCTTTTTTTCTGGGTGCAGTTAAGTCAGGTAACTGAGAACTTACCTTAAGGAGGTCTTTATAGAGCTCGGGATACAACATGGCAACTTCCGACTTCACATCTTTATCCAAAACCAAAGAAAACACAGGGAACATTGTGTAGATTGTGGAATAGCTGGAAAGACACAGAAATCAGCTAATTCCAGTTATTTGGAGAATTTATACCAGAAATCAGAACTGCGGAATAAATGAACTCTTAATGAGACATGCAAAAACTAGACATTTTAGGAAATGGATAGAACTTCCACGATTGCTCCATTTATTTATTTTTCTAATTTCGCTGAATTATCCTCTGTTAGCACCAGGGTTTTTTTGTACCCCTTTTCTACACATATAGGACACCCCGATGCTTGGCTGCTATAAACACAAGTGTCCATAAAAAGGTGTAACACTCGAATCTTTTATTAGTCGCTGTGACTCACTCAATCAGCTTTTCCTGAAATGAATTCCCATAATAATGTCTTGTGTAATATAAAGAGTGCTTGGCGAGTGACCTAGTCTGTATCCTGATTACATTGCTCCGGCCCTCGGGGACCACCAATTCAAAGAGACCTGCACTTGTGTGTGGCGGGGTGGAGTGGCCTTACTCTGACTATGATATGGTCCCAAACCACGCAGGAAGGGTGGATAAAGAGATTTGAAAATAGCAAGCAGTCAGTCCTTTTACGGTTTTCCCAATTCTTCCTGACAAAGCGGCTGAAGAAGGACCATGAAAGATACTGTACTGTTATTACATTGTTACTATAGGAAAGCGATTTCTACTCCTTGCAAAGCTCCCACTGAGCACTCTGGCATGGGAGACCGCTTTGTGACTAATTATTGTATCAGGTTTCTAACAATGGGAGCACCCACAGCAAAGACCTGTTCCTAGAATGAAGTGGATCCATAGTAACGCACTCCAGTAAAGGTGGCAGAAACCGATTAATAGATTGAATAAATTTACTGTATTGAGGAAGAATAGAAAAAAAAAAAAGTCCTTAAAGGGACAATTCAGACACCAGCACAACCTTGCTAACCCCCACTGCTTGTTTTTGACCTCATTCATTATAATACACGTCCTTTTTGCGGGTTGCTGTACTTTCTGTCCCTACCTCTTTACCTGCAAGCTCCGAGAACACAGTTTGTACTTCCCATCATGATGCACAGCAAGGGTTTCTGGGAGTTGTAGTTCAGCTAACTGCACGCGTAAGTAGAAAGCAGATAACAGAATTACTAGTCCCAGAAATCCCAGCTCTGAGCAGAATGGAGTCAGTGCCCTCCGTTACAGTGCCCTCCATAGACATAAATTAGAGGCGCGTCACTGACAAAGATTATACTTTTTCGTGGGCAAAGCTCATGGCTGACGTTGTAATGTGTGAGGATTTGCATAACTTGTTCCCTGTTTGTCTCAATATTTACAGTGTGGCTTCTGCAAGAGAAGGAGACTGATAGTGTGAGAAGGTTGTGGATAAACTTAGTGTTCCAATAATGCGAAGTGTCCTTACCCGGGATTGGTGGGACGTACACAGGCAATATATTATAACAAAAACTACGTGGACAGTATCAATGCAACATATCGTGCAGCCAATGAGTGAAGCTGGCCAGCCTCACTCGGACACGCAAAGGACATCTTCAATATATAAATATTTACTTACCCAATGATAAGGAACCCTTGGTAGAGTGGGACCGAGGCGAAGTAAAATACTGAGGAAAACACAGCCTGTTAAATAGAAGAAATGTAACTGAGTAATATCTGCAACATTTTCTCACTTGCATTTAAAGAAATTAATATATTGTGGCTTGAAGAGTGTATACACTGTATCCAGGAGCCAGAACAACTGCAGCCACAGGAGTACGATGGTGGGATGTGCCAAACACGTCCTACATCAGACAAAGTCATTTGTAATTTTAATGAAACTCTTACACAGTCAACATAAGCAAGTTTTTATCATTCTGAAAAACTCGTCTTTAGGTTGCCGCTTTAAGGTTGATGGGCTGCGGTTTATCTGAGGTCGATGTGAATAGGGAACGCTGCCCAGTGATTGTGTGGACACCTCTCTGGGGAGGAAGTATAGGTTAAAAATCTAAACTATTGAATAAAGAATATAATCGGGGAAATCCTGCTTTGAAGAATGTGATTTATGGAAAGCTTTCTCTGAAGTCCATGGCCGTAAGTTTAGTACTTTAAAAAGCTGTGAGTTTGGTGGAATTAAAAACAAGTTACAACCTAGCTGCGCTCCACCCCACTGCGCACTATAAAATAAGGTTCATTTGGGCTGATAATTTTTTTTTGAATTACACAAAGTCAAGTTACCAAAACTTACACAATGTGTTTAGAGGAGTCATTATTATCATATCCAAACTGTACAATAAAATGATCACTTAAAATGTTTCTATGCTGTGTTAACTTGTATTGCATTAATTCACAAAGCATAAAGCTAGTCTGTGCTCTGATAACTTTTTAAATGGTTCATTTGAAAGATGAAAGATATTTGTATAAACTAATGAAACTTACATTCCCTTTTACTTGCGTTGAGAACATATTCCCCAAGATGCACCTGGTCATTTTCTTCCTAACTAGCTACATCACATATTGAATCTTTCAGAGATGGGCTTTAAGTAATACAGAAAGTATAGCAGAGAAGGGAGCTATTTCTGACATTTAACTGGGTAGATTAAAAGTGATTATTCATAAATCTTAAAAAAAAAAAATCAATAATCAAATGGAAATATGCATGAAAATAAAAGAGTATTTGGAAAACAAAACGTGCAAGGGGGAGCAGATGAGAACACACACTGGGTTCTGGGGGTACAGGACCCCCTCCAGCCTCATCTTTACTTGAAAGTCTAGAATTGGGAGCAAGGGATCTGTGCATGTCAGGCAGATCAACCCCATAATCCTTGCTCCCTCTCCTCCAGTCTAATATAGTTTAGGTTAATGAGAGGACACCTACTTCTGCCTCGCAGTCTCCACCTGAGAGGATAACCATAATAAAATGATCTTCAGAGATCACAGACCTCTGCGGTTTTTGTAGACACTAGGGTCAGGTCTCTTAAAATCAACACACACTTTACAAGGAATGGGAGAGATACCAGGTGGTCTTAACAGGTCTCCAATCCCCTTTTATTATTTTTCCTCTTTCTGTATTAGACTGATTATAAAGACAAAAACCATAACTCTGACGCAAGGAAAATCCAGTTTAAACCTGGTAACTAGTTCAAACACTAAAATTATCCACAGCCCGGAGCAGGACAGAATCACTGCACAGAGCTATTCTATAAAACGCTATGTAATTAGTCCGCTATTTTGTATTCATGGCCATATCACGGACTGTTTGTTTATTTGGACTAACATTGTTTAAAGAAAGAATTTCCTTCTATTAAGCCGTATTAGTCATTATATGACGCGTTCTGTCAGCACTTCAATTGTACCGTTTCCTTCTGTTTACAAGCGTGGCTATTTACGGAGTGTTCGCATGGCCTCTCAGAATGCAGCCATTTCCATCTTTACAAACAAAATATGTCACCGATATCAAGATTTTAGTTTTTTGTGTTTTAAAGGTTTTATTGTATAATGTCCAATTGGTACATAAAATCACCAACAGGTTGGTTAGAAAATGAACGGTTAGAAACCAATGGTTTTGCAGCGATTAACAGATATTATCGACAGTCGATGAACATACTGATACAATGTAAAGTGTAGCATAGGGAAAAGCTGATCCATAGAAATAATTGTTATGCTCCGTTTTAACTCTGCTTCGACTAAGACCAAGGTCCCTGGATCATATACGAACATGTTGTTTTGTTAATTCCTTAGAGTAACACCTATCTGACCACTGGACATTTCTCAGCTGATGAGACTGACCGGTGCGGACTACCCTTGTGAAACTGGGATACATAGGATAAATATAAAACATGTTATCACCCCCGATCCTGAATGCCTGCTATAGATCAGACTCGCCCAACAACTGGTCTGACAGCCCTGCACCTTTGGTAGGGGAACGATAGCCAGAAATGCCATTTATCTGCTTAAGTGGAGCCGTGTGATTAAGGTTGTATTGTGAGTGGCGCCCACGGTATTTACCCGTGCCAAATAAGGGGGTGAGGATGTATTCAGTGAGGCTGGGTTTCTGACCCATGGAAGGCTGTCCATGTCCTCCATGTTTCTATAAATTTCCTGCATTCTTTTGCCCTGTTGTGTGTAATCTCTTCCATTTGTTTTATACTCTCTACCCTTGCGATCTATTCCCTCACTGTAGGTGGGTTTGGCGGTTTCCACTTTGCCGGAATTAGTTGATTCGCCGCTATGAGTAGGTGAGTGCATAGTTTGTCGCTGTTGGTTTTGCGGGGGTAGTAAGAGAAGCATGTGTTCTGGGGAGAATGGGAGCGTGATGTAGGTAATGGTCTGTATAAGTGAGTGTATGCGTTTCCAGTACTTCTGAACCATGGGGTATTGCCACCAGATATGTGAGGAATTTGCGTTGTGCTGATGGCACCACCAGCACGTATCAGGTGACGAGTTGTGGATCTCTGTATAGTGCCAATGCACAATGTGTTTATAATTACACTTGGGATGTAAGGTTTGTGGATGCCTTGTGTGCACGCATAAATATTGCTTTCCATTGACCTGGTGTGATTGTCAGCGCTAATTCATCCTGCCATTTCTCTGTGAAGTGAGGGAGCCCTGGATTTTGGACTGTGTACAGTAAGTTATACATGGAGGATTGATGGTGTATGCATAGTTGCTCAAGCTTAGTCAGTTCCCTATTTCCCTCCGGTAGTAGGTTGGTACATCGTATGAAGTGGGCCAGTTGTGTGTACTGGAGATGTTGTATACCGGTGGCGGGCTGTGTCAAGATAATTTGAGTTAACTCTTTCATTCCACTGCCTTGCGTGATTGTTTGTAGCATTAGAAATGGTGTGTCATGTATGACCTATATGTTGTGCCCGGTTGCCCTTCCGGAAAGAGAGGGTTGTGCGAGAGCGGGTATAAGGGCGAGGGGTGGGGTGACAGGTGTTCGCTTTGTCTAATCGATTCCCAGAGTATGATTGTAGCTGTGATGGTCGGGTGGGATTTTTGTGTAATAAACGACCGGCCTGATTTGTGCCACGGGATAGTGTGAATAGGTATCTCGAGGACAACTGCCTCAATCTTGACCCATTGTAACTTCCTATTAGTGTCGGTCCACTCGTATAACCTGGCCAGGTATGTGGCTTTGTGATATTGCGCTATATCTGGTAACGCCAGTCCCCCCACTTCCCAGGGTTTTACCAGCAGGTTATAAGCTATGCGTGGGTGCTGATGTGACCAGAGAAAGGATTTTAAGATTGATCTTGAGGTTCTAAAAAACACCTGATGGATGGTGATCACCAGCTTGTTATGACAATGGGAGAGGGGTGGTGAGGGGGATGAGGATGAGCCCCATCTCCCCTAGATCTTCATATTAGACATCCACATTGATATGTTTCCTGTACGCTACCAGTCAGGGCGTACCTCTCCGGGACCATATAGTAATACCCTAACATTATAGCATATCATTAAAATCTGCAACATACGACCTGCCTGTTGTCATAAGTGGTTCAAGTGTTCAACTCTTAGCCTAGTGTTCATTGCGTTGTTAATACACCCAGGATCTTAGACCGGCATTGAGACGTCCTTGTGTATACATCCCTAGGATTATGCAGTGAGGTCCCGGAGATAGAGTTCTTGCTTGTCTGGTCATCGGCGAAGTGCTAAGGGGAATTTATGGGTAAGAATCCCAAATGCCATGGTCCATTCACCCAGTCCGGTTAAAGCAGGTTTGTAATCCCAGCAATTGGCGTGTATGTTTAGTGTCCCGTAGATGGGCCTTGGCATGAAGAGCCGGGTCGAGGTTCCGTTCTTTGTTTCTTGGAGGTTGCATGCCATCTATGCTGCTGGGGAAGGCTCTGAGACCCAGAATCTGCTTAAGGGGAGTACCAGTCTGGGATGTGTGTATCCAGGAGGTCCAAAGCCTGCAGAAATGACTTCACAACTAGATATGTAGAAATGGAGTGTGTAGTACCCTTGTGGTTGACAATGAGTGCGAAGCAGAAGCCCCATCTGTACCTCAGGTCTCGGTTCGATAGATGTTCTGTTATGGGCTTTAGCGTTCTTCTAGCTTGTAGTGTAAGCCAAGAAAGATCTGGATAGATTTGGAGTTGGTGGCCATGGAACAATAAGGGTCATAAGGTATTTCTCAATTCTCGTATTTTTTGATCTTTCACAGTGAAGTAGTGAATGCGGCAAATTACGTCTCTCGGCTCCTCGTCGGTCGCACCTCAGGGTCTGAGAGATCGGTGGGCCCTGTCCAGTGCTATAGAAGTCTCATTGGGTTCCCCCAATATAAAGTTAAAGAGTTCTGTGAGTGTTGTAAATAGGTCCTTGTAACAACGATGAGCCTTCCAACGGAGCTAGGCTCTGTGAGGAGGAGGCCGTTGAAGCCTGTGTCGGCGCCATTTTTGTCGGAGGCATCTCCCTCACGGTTGCCAGAATCTCTGATGAATTTAGTTAGGGAACCTGATTTATGTGTGGTGGTTTTCCCTGAAGCGGTGTGAGGGTTATACTGCTTTTTCGGGTTACCCATGTCCTCTTCAAGTTTTCTATTGCAGCAGATTGCCTGTCCGAGTTGGAGGAGCTGATCTAGTGCACTTCCATTCAGCTCTGCGGCAGGTCACGCCCTTCCGATGTCAAGATTTTAACCTTTAAATTGGATCGGTCATCTTAACAAAAACACTATTCAGGAGAGTTCAGAAAACATTTAGCAGAATTGTTAATTTTAACTATTTTTAAATAATCATTGTTCTCCACTTCGAATGTTTTAATTTATGTATTTATTTTATAGTTCTTACATGGAATCCTTTATAGCCTACGAATTTCAGTACTACTTTGGGAAGCCACGATATTGCAATTTTCTAATTCTAAGTCTGCTTTTTACTGTAATAATCTAAATTAAAATGTTATTTAATGCAGCCAAGTGATTTTTTTTTCTTTCAGTTTTCTTTTCTTTAAAGTCCCTTGTTAAAAAAAGGGGAATTTAAAAAATAAAATAAAAAAATAAAAACAAGACAAAATCGAGGAACAAAAAAAAGAATACATTTATAAACAAAGCCTGCAAAGGGAGTCGCTTTAAAGAAACAGCCGTGGTCAATGAGTAGGAAGTGAAAAGGTGTTGACACGGCCAGATTAGTTTTTACCTGCATTGTGCTGATACACAGACTCCGGTGGATGACGAACTGGCTCAAGGCCGATGATCGCTTGTAGCTGTTCCTCCCATGCACCATAAGTAACCTTCCCAAATGTTTAAACTGTGTGACGGAGAAATCTGCGGCAAGCGATGCCTGCTTCCCTTCCTGAAATCAAACAAACCCACAACAGTAAAAATCTATTTGCAGAAGATGCCTTCCATACGACTCAAAAACTATGACTGAGACTTTCCATACAACACATGGACTTAACCATTTAAAACCTCTCTGTCAGTAATTTGGGGGATGGGCCAGGGGTACCTCCCTATAGCCCCCTCCAACCATTTCATGTCCCGAGACAACTTTCCTTTTCCAATGTTGTGCCAGTTCCACTGGGTCTGCTTTCATGGTGCCACCCTCTTTATTTCTGAGGTGGCTGATAATTGGATGTTCTGTCCTTCGTTGGGTTTGTAAGTCATTTGAAACCCAATGTATGCCCAACGTCTTGCAAAGGAACTGTGCCGAAGCCCGCAATTGCGCAAGAGCCAACACAGTGACACGCCGCTCCCAAAAAATAAACTTAGTTTTAAACAATTTTTTTTTTTTTTTAAATGGGATGGCAGAGGGTGGATTTGGGACATACCTATAGAGGGGAATAAAAGGTGACAGAGCCACTTTAGGCCAACATTTATCTGCCATTAGTTAATTTTCCTCTGTAGACCACGTTAGGCTATTTCTTTTTGGTCAATCTTTATTTATGACTTGTCTCTTGTTTGTATGGAAAGTCTGAAATTAAAATGTTCCTATTACATTTCATTAAAATAAAATGTAACTAATCTATTACACTACACTGTAACTCCCATTACTCTCCGTCAATAAATACTCACTTTTCCTTCCACTCCTACTCCGCAGTCAGCTTCTTGGATCATGCTCACATCGTTACCTCCGTCACCTGCAATTCACATAGTGAAAATCAAACACAGTATTCATATTAATGAGGACTAGATTCATGACATCTCTGATATGTTTTGGGTACAACTAATAATACAATATGCCTAATTCTAGAATGAAAAAACGTGAGTGAGAGTCTTCCTAAAAGACAAGCTACCACCTTTCATAAGGAAATAACGAATATTTTTTTGTGGCCTTGTGCTTACTTCTTAGAGGACAGAATGACATCAAAGGGTACAAACATAATGGCAAAAACAACAGTTAGAACTACGATGTTGTGTATCAGTGAACTAACCATTGCCTACATTTAAATTGGAAAGACAAACACCATTACTTCCTGTAAAAACTAACTCTGTAGGAATCAACAAATGAGAGATGGAATAAGTACAAGGCTAACGCAGAAAAAGAATTGAAGAATGCTCGGGATGTGTATAAGGGTAACGCAGAAAAAGAATTGAAGAATTCTCGGGATGTGTATAAGGATAACACAGTAAAGGGATTGAAGAATGCTCGGTGTGTGTATAAGGCTAACACAGTAAAGGAATTGAAGAATGCTTGGGATGTGTATAAGGCTAACGCAGTAAAGGAATTGAAGAATGCTCAGGATGTGTATAAGGCTAACGCAGTAAAGGAATTGAAGAATGCTCAGGATGTGTATAAGGCTAACGCAGTAAAGGAATTGAAGAATGCTCAGGATGTGTATAAGGCTAATGCAGTAAAGGAATTGAAGAATGCTCAGGATGTGTATAAGGCTAAAGCAGTAAAGGAATTGAAGAATGCTCAGGATGTGTATAAGGCTAACGCAGTAAAGGAATTGAAGAATGCTCAGGATGTGTATAAGGCTAACACAGTAAAGGAATTGAAGAATACTGTATAAGGACATACAAGATGGGGAAACTGGATAAAATTTGCTGTCGCAATTTACTGGTGTGTCTAATGCATTAATTTGATCTTCACGCCTACACATGCCTTAACATATAAACAGAAAGTAAAGCAAAATACTACCACAACACTTGCAAAGCTACTTCTTGAAAGAGTTCAAGGTTTGTAAATATAATGGATATGGATCTCCACAGGTGTACATCATCTAATCAACCACGTCTCAACAAACCTAGTTGACATTATCTCTAGAATAAGATTTTTATTTTATTTTTAAACCAAAGACCAGAGTCCAAGTCACAGTTCCAAAAAAATATAAGATGTGGAGGAAGAGCTGGTTTCAGCAAGCGCTCTTTTTTGACACCACGGGCCAATGCTCTTTGACCCGAGAAACATTCGCCACCCAAGTTCGGGAGGTTGGACACATGAACTTCTGGCTGCGGAAGGCACTGTACAAGGAGGTCTGCAAGCGGCTGAGATCAGAGTGCACTCCGGATAAGGTCGCCTATATCCCAGAATTTGACCAGATGATGCTGGCTTTCATTGCACGAGGGGCTAGAGACTCAAGGAAAAAAAGAGTTGATAAAGGGTGCAAGGGAGCCCAGGATAAGCCCCTCGATCATGTCAGGCCACTCGCCTGGGTTCTGACCCTAATGGATGAGGCATACTGACTGACTCCTTTCAGCAGACAACGCACGCGACGGGGTGCATGATGTTCGTGAGTGGCCCCAGAGATGTTTTGCTAACTGAGCAACACAAATATGGCCCTCTTTTCGGAGAGATGCTGGGCAGCCTTATTCCGAATTGATGGCAAATTGGTAAACCTCGGGGCTAAAATATTGGGTCCACAGGCACATGGAAATTATTTGGTGAGTATTTGATGAAAGGTTAATGCTTTGTCAGAAGAATCTGTTCAACCCTTGGGGGTCACAGGTTCAATTCCCCAGCAGGGTAACTCAGCCCTTTGAGGTAGATAAAATGAATACCATTACATTGGGTTAAAGTTACATCAATAGGATGCACTTGGAAACTAGAAAATATCTGAATGTCTCTTTCCTGGTTAAACATTTTTACATACTACTATTTCAAGATGGAAGGTATCCATCTATTGCGGCACCTCCAGCAAGGAGGAGACTGGTTTACCTGCCTGGACTTAAAGACCACTACCTGCCTGTACCAGTAGACAATGGCAGTCGTCCCTCCTTACAGTTCCACTGGAATGGTACACCATTGCATTTCACCTGCCTCCCCTTCGGGCTCAGTTCGGCACCACAGTGCTTTGCGAAAGTTTCTGAAACCAGTGATGGCTTACTTACGGGGTCAATGCATACGATGGACGACATTCTACTCTCCGACCAGAATCATAACCTCCCTTTTTCACCGGTACCCATGGCGTAAGAAATCAGACAAGAACTTTGATGGTGGCTCGAAGGTATACATGTCTGAAATTGTTGGCAGGCGCCTCTGCTATCTGAAGTCTAACAAAAGGGAGATCAAATTGCTGTATCCTGCTACGCATGGACAATTTCTCCGCACTTCATCACATCAACCACTTAGGTGGCATTTGTTCTCAGAAACTGACGCACCTCACAAAGGAAATCTTCGACTATTGCCTACCACGATCGACTTTTCGTGTCTAGCACCAACCGCCAACTACCGATATTCTACAGCGGATTACCAGACCTGGAGGGTGCAGTGGTAGACGCGTTCCTGCAGGCATGGCCATCAGAAGGGACTTACGCATTTCCACCCTTTGCAATGTTTGCAAAAATGGTTCACCACATCAGATAGCTGGAAATGGCAAGCCCCCTGGTGACGCCCTGGTGGCAAAGTCAACCTTGGTCCCCAGATCTCCTCTCACTGTCATACCAGGACCCTCCACTATTAACAGATGATCAGATGATACTCATGGATTCCATGGGGAATCCTCATCCCATGCTATAAGGACATATCTCTTTAGTGGCCTCGAGTCTTTCGGGGGTGCTTGATGCACCGATGACTTATCGTCATCGGCTAGAGATATACTCTGGGACTCATGGGCCCCTCTCAGCTTGGAATTCAAGGGTCAATTGGTCAGATTTTGGACATTCGATCAGTCCACGTGGACGCCTTCTCGTTTTCTCCGAAAGGTGTCACTCTTTGGGTGTCTCGATGTACAAGATGGACTCAACGTCGGCTTTTTACCCATTTTTTCCATCGGAACCCAACTCTACGTGGTCCAGACACTGCACGCTTATGTACGGCTATGGCCTCTTCCCGACAATTATTGGTGTCCTACTTTAAGCCACATGGGCAAATCTCGGTTACCACCATGACCCTCTGGGTACAATGGCTTTTATCTCTTTCCAGGATTGACCCTTCCTTCTGCGTGCACTCTGTTTGGGGTGCGGCTGCCTCTTCCGCCTTCACAGCGGGGGCCTCCTTATGAGATATATTGCTCTCGGCAGCCTGGTGCAGAGAACCCACCTTTCGGATGTTTTACTCTCACTCGTCCTCCATTACCACTTTCTCTCTATTACCTAAGCGCTAAAAATTCTAAATATGAAACCTCCTGTCATGTGATAAAATTGAAGATTATGCTAGCTTTAGTGTACTAATAATCCTAATTATAATAACGACAGGAGGCGAGTATTTCCCCCCCCCTATTGAATTTCCCTCCCATTCAGGTGGGTTCGCATCTCCAGGTAGGTGATGTATGTTATCAATATGGTACTGGTCGTTTTCTTGTGACTACGTAACTGACTCTATTCATTCTAAATGGAAAGTTGGGGTTGTTTTTCTTATATAGTTGATAAATGTATGGATATTCTATATTAGGTAACTATATTATGGTACATAGGTTAGATTTTATAGATCATGATAGATTGTGATAGTACCGAATTATCGCGCACCTTTTATTTGAGGGTTACTCATATTGTTCAGGTTTACATTCCATATCACTAAAACGCTCGCCCTTTCAGCTTAAAAGACACAAACGGATCTTCTACATCAAGCGTACAAGGATATTCGTTGTTCCCAGTTTTTAATTAATCCAACCTGGAATATGAATGGTCTTTGTTATTCCGTATGGCTCTTCAGTTGATCGTGTGACTTGTGATGTCGCCGTTATTAAGAGAAAGTGACTCAGTGGAAGGCGTATCTTATACTCTCTGCCTGTTTCTGATTGGTTCCTTTTTTCCTCTATATATATTTGCTGCTATATAGTAGTAAAGGAAGATTATGCAAAATACTCGCCTCCTGTCATTATTAAAATTAAGATTATTCGTACACTAAAGCTAGCATAATCTTCAATTTGCTTTGGTCAGTTTACAAAGAAATTAAAATCCCTTGCGGTGTGTGTAGGACGTGGCAGGGAAAATATAAACCAAACAAATTGCTCATTCAGATCTCTGGTCTGTGTTGAGCTCATCAACCATTTAAAAAATAAAAAATAATCTTTATAAAATGTTTTGACTCCCCCTTTAATCACCTCCAGATTCTCCTGCAGTTAAAGGCTGATCTGTAAACTTTGAGATATTTATCACTTTAAATGATGCTTTTGAAAATATTAAAATATTTCTGTTTACATCCCTTTTCTGTATTTTGAGCAGCAAACAAGTTCAAGAATTATAAAATAAAAAAATAAAAAACAGAAGTTTAGAGAGAAACACATATAAAAACCAGGCATTGTGGGAAATCACAAAATTCAAGTTAGAGTCGAGCTGGAAGAACTCTCCAACTAAGTTGTTATTCTAGTTTATTCATACAATCAATTTGGGCCGAAATGTAATTCATCTGCATTTGGGTCGTTCGGGAGATCACTTGAATTTCCTAAATCCGATGCAAAATGACGAACAAAACTTCTTCTGAATTCTGGCACCAAACCCCCACCCAAAAAATGAAAGATTATTAATGGCTGGGGGACACATCATGTGAGAAGTGACCAATAGATTAAAAAAAAATAAAAAAAAATCTATATTTACATCTTATGTTTAATATATATAGATTGATTTTATGGAATAACTTCTAATAAAGGAATACTTTTTATCTCCAAAGGACCGTGAGTGCAATCCGTCCTTTACTATATTATATTTTTGGCTATGGCTTATCGTCCACCTGGCACTTAAATATTTGGGTCAGTCTGCGTGCAAGGACTTTTGTGCTTAGATAGATATATAGATATATATATATATATATATATATATATATGTTATGTGTGTATTTCGCAGTACACAGATTGACCCATTTTTGCGCCCTTTTTGTTTGTCTATTTCAGTTCTCAGTATCACTTGGCAGCAGGGACGTATTAGCCGTGAGGCAACCAAGGCATATGCCTTGGGCGGCATTTTTCAGGGGGTGGCAAAAAACGCCGCCCCCAAATGCCCAGGGCAAATGCCTGACATCCTGGGCTGGCGGGCGGCGCTGGCTTATGGTCGGGCGGGTGGCTGGCGAGGGAGCTCTTCCTCTGAGCGGTCTGTTCAGCTCCCTCGCACGTGGCAGAGTGAGGCTGGGAGCCGGAATATGACGTCATCAACCCGGCTCCCAGCCACACTCTGCGGCGCGTGAGGGAGCTGAGCAGACCGCTCAGAGGAAGTGCTCCCTCGCCAGCCGCCCGCCCGCCCAGCGCCGCCCGCCAGCCCATCAGCCCGACCGGCAGCCACTAGTCCACCAGGGAGAAAGAGGAACGCCCCCCCAGCATTCCCAAAGGTAAGGAGGCTGGGGGGGATAAATTAAAAAAAAAAAGTGTTAATGTGAGTGATTGTGTGTATGTCTGACTGTGTGTGTGTGTGTGTTTGTGTGTGTCTGACTGTGTGTGTGTGTGTGTCTGACTGTGTGTGTGTCTGACTGTGTGTGTCTGTGTGTGTGTGTCTGTGTCTGTGTGTGTATTTAGAAGGTGGGACGGGGGAAGGGTTGGGTGGGGTTGAGCGGGGGTATAGGGGGGCCTGAGTTTTGTCCTGCCTAGAGCAGCACAAAACCAGGATACACCACTGCTTGGCAGTTCTCTATTCCCATTCGGAGAATAAATCGGTCAGGAAGGATTTCTACAAACAGATAATCCTGAAACATTTCACTATTTTTGGGGGAACATTTCATACCGACAGCACAGGTGAGTTTCCCCGTCCGTTCCTGCAGCAATCGCACAATCTGAGCTTTCTGAGTGGGAGCGCAGCGGCAGCACACCACGGCGGGACACTGACACGCTAACTCCATGAATTCATACTCATAGTACTTCAGACAAACCTAAACAAGAAAACAGAACTTGAAACACCCATAGTGCAGCGCTACGGAATTTGCTGGCGCTATATTAATAATAAAAAAATAATAAGAATTACGATTAGAAAGAAGAATGCTGATACACCAGCTCGGGCTGACATTTTACAATAAAAACAAAAGGTTCAAATGAACAATCTCATTAATTCCATGTATGAAAGGGACAGTATTGATAAAGACACAGGGGTTTGTACTGATAGGATTTACATATCACACACATTTCCGTCACAAATACTTTGTTATTTTTGGCAGTGTTTGTAGAGTTTGTTATGAATGTTTCTTTCCTGTAAATGGTAATAGTAAAGATTTAGCTTTTCAAACACAGATCTAGAGCATGCACACAATTCTACAATAGGAGGGGGTGAAAAGAAAGATAAAAACTAAATGTATACAGCACTGCGGATATATTCTTGGTTCTGTACCCATAAATTAGAGTGTTTCTCCATCTTTTTACCGTATTTACTCAAATCTAATGTGCTCCTCAATGTTTGAAACCTGGAAGCTGAAAAATGATTTTTTTTTTTTTTTGGCGTATTTAATTAGCATTTATACACGATTCTACTATACAACATTGTGCTACCATGAAAATGTTTGCTTGCCTGGGTGAATTCGCCAGAATTATAATTCTCCTGTGTAAATTTGCCAGAATGCAATTCACTGAAAAACTTTCTAATTTTGCCCCGAATGTAATACGGATTCAAATAGCACGTTTTCATTTTCAATTTTCAAAAAATAAAAATTATTTAAGTGTCCATATCAAAAATGATACTATTTGTCAGATTATAATTATAGCATATCATTACATAATTGTCTAGGTTGATAAAAAGACTAAAGTCAATTAAGGTCAACTTTGAAACTCATTATTTATGCTGTTGATCCAAAATAAGGCAAAACCCTGATTGTAGCCATTTCTAATTATGCCACAAAAGGGGGGAGAAAATCCTTCTTAACTCCATAATGACAACCAGATTTCTCCTTGGATCAACAACTTGTTTATAGGTTTACCAACTATATCCTTGAATATTCTGTTCATGCAACAAAAGCACGCAAGTCTGTTTAAAGGACCACTCTAGGCACCCAGACCACTTCAGCTTAAAGAAGTGGTCTGGGTGCCAGGTCCAGCTAGGGTTAACCCTTTTTTCATAAACATAGCAGTTTCAGAGAAACTGCTATGTTTATGAATGGGTAAAGCCTTCCCCCTATTTCCTCTAGTGGCTGTCTCATTGACAGCCACTAGAGGCGCTTGCGTGCTTCTCACTGTGATTTTCACAGTGAGAGCATGCCAGTGTCCATAGGAAAGCATTATGAATGCTTTCCTATGTGACCGGCTGAATGCGCGCGCAGCTCTTGCCGCGCGCATTCAGCCGACGGGGAGGAGAGGAGGAGGATCGGAGGAGGAGAGCTCCCCGCCCAGCGCTGGAAAAATGTAAGTTTAAACCCCATTCCCCTTTCCAGAGCCGGGCGGGAGGGGGTCCCTGAGGGTGGGGGCACCCTCAGGGCACTTTAGTGCCAGGAAAACGAGTATGTTTTCCTGGCACTATAGTGGTCCTTTAAGCAGTGACAAGAGTTATCACTGTAGCTCCAAGAACCAATTATCAATTTGGGATCGAAAAGGCCCGGGGGGAATCTCACAAAGCTTTATACCTTCAGATTATAATTGTAGTAAAGAAACCTTTTTCTAGTGGGGGGCCATTATAGCAAGTATCATAACCACTTTAATAGTATTGGAAATAAATTAAATCAATCTCCCCCAAACAGTCTACCAGTTACAAAAATACTCCGATCATGCACGCCATCCAATACGGCAAAATATATGTCCCACTTATAAACCGCCTCAATTAGAAAATATTCCAGTTAAAATACCCACCTCCAAGGAGTCCCCCGATATAACCAGAGCACAGTCATGCTTCCTCCGAAATGCATTTAATTCCAAGTGGGCTTCTCCTCTGTTCGTTACCTAAAAAAACAAAACAAAATTAAGTCGAATGTACTGGAAATTTTCTAAAAGTCTTTATTGTTGTAGTTCAGGTCCCTCATTGAAATAAACCAATAAACACAATTTTGTGTTGACTTAATACTTGGCACATCCAAGTAAAATTATAATATATATATATATATATATATCACTTTGTAATTGAGAAGAAAAAAATGTGTGCCTTACAACCTCCATAATCTAATAAAAACAAATTGTTTTGGATCTAGAAAATGAACCTTCGGGAAAATGGTTAAGATTTTAAAAATCAAACTGAACCAAGTCCAACAGTTGTAGTCTAATAAAATACAAGATGGCTGCTCCCAGAGGCATTTATAATGCTAACTTGTTTTTATATATAAAACAATGGATTACAAATTAACATGTGAAAATATGGCTGGTTATCTGGGTAAATAGGCAGAGTATTGGTCTTCATTTTCACAGTAATCATTGCATGAGAGATCTCGTGTCACGTGGTGTGTACTCACAGATCGGAATGTATGTATGTCCTGGTTTCTGGTCACCAAATGGGCATTCTTTGCGGTGCAGGTGGCAGTTTCCAGCTTGTCACCTGTTAGCATCCAAACCTACAGATTTTACAGATAAATGAGCAGGTATTGCTAGAAAACCCTTCAATGTCACCGAATTAGAGCAATTCTACAAAGAACTGAGACACAAACGTTCTCCGCAAGAAAGACGGACATTCCGTTCTAGGGAGCATTTGGTGATGGATGTTTCTGCCAAAGTTGATACAAGCAGTTAAGTTCAAGAAGGCCAATTAATTACTTTTTCACACAGGGTCAGCGGATATTGGATATCTTTTTTTTGACATCAATAAAATAAACATTTAAAAACTGAATTTTGTGTTTACTTGATTTATATTTTGTAGGAAGCAATTAAACCTTTAAGTGTGACAAATATGTAAATATAGAGGAAATCAAGATGGGGCAAATACTTTTTCACAGCAACATCCTCCCTACATAGCTCAGAAATTGTTCCCCTTATCTAGGATTTCCATGTTTAAAGAATACCCAAATTAGAGAGTCGTCTTTTTTTTTAGATAGCACCCTAATTTGCAAACTAACGTAGGATTGCTATATTTAAAGATACCAAATAATGGGGCTATCTACTAAATAGCTTTCTATGTTTTTATTCTTAGCAATCTCACATATAGTTACCAATTTAGGAGTTTAGCTACTAAACAGTTGAAAGATCAAAATTAAGAAAAGATTGAGAATGCATAATTGGATTTGTATAAATAATAAACAAACTAAATTAATTTGGAGAAACAAAACCGCTCAATGGACGTAAGTCAGTGTAGCTGAACTTTTCATCTATTTAATGCAGACTAATCAAATGTTTCACTCATGCACAAGTTTCCAGAAAGGACCGTTTGTTAAATGTAATCTCAGTAGCCTGCAGCCCAAGCTGAAAAATGAAAAATCAAGCTACGGCAAGAGTTTGTGTTCAATTGTGAATGATCTAACAGAGGATGTGATGTACCTTCATGCCAGCATTCCTTAACATTTCCAGGGTAGGGCGGACATCAGCTTGCAGCTGGTCTTCAACTCCCGTAAGACACAGTAACTCCATCTCCATTTCCAAACTCTCTATTACAGTCGCTACTTTCAGGGAACGATCGTGAACACTGAGCTTTGCCTGGACATATCGAGCCTGTAGCAAACAAACAGAATCCCGTAAATCCAAAATAATAATGAGTAGAAGTGGATTATTCACAAGAGTCTACGACTCTTACTGATCTAATTAGGAGACACTAAATATGGGCATCGATTGATGGATATGAAGAATCAATGGTTCAAATCCTACGGAAGCCTCAGATTCTGCTTCCTGTGCGCTCTGTCCTCTTTTCCTGACCTACTTTGAGGAAACCAGGAGAACACATTCTCTTTAGGTGCAATGAGCAAGATCACATTGAAAGAGACATTTGATAATTTTTAGACCTTTGTCTACTTTCTCTCTTTTGGTCGTTACAGAAGCACCACTGCTGAGAAATGCATGTTCCGGGTGATCCTTTTCAGTTGAGCAGCTCGTATGGCCCCTTAGTTTCGGCCCATTTGGAAGTGACCATAGAAAAATTTCAGGAGGTTATGGATAGCAAAGACACTTTTATAATTATAACTTTTACAGTTATATTTTTTATTTGGTATAGAGCATATTTTGTATCTACATATTGTAGAAAAAAAAACAAGGTCTCCCTAGAAACCCAACATGATTTTGTTTTCCTATTTTTGAAATAAAATCTGAATTTCCTTTCAAGAGAAAAGCCTAAAATGACAAACTTATGTGTGAAATAAAGACATCTAAAAGCTGTATCTGTCTATCAACCTGATCTCTGTGCATTCAAATTTATTTGTTTTGTGTACCTTTTTCTCATTTTCAAAAAATGTTTTAAAAGCACTAATGTACCGAGATAGATCTAAACAATCTCACCTCAAAATCCTGGTACTGTTCTTCAGTGAGTGATTTTTTGGCCACGACTAGTACTCGCAGACCCTCCCGAGCCATATTCCCACACTGAAACATCAGAACATACATGTTTTAAGAATACAGAACGCAAGCGGCTATCATGCATACCAATAAAATATTACAAAAGGATTACATATTAAGAGGAAAGAAAACAAAAACACAATCTAAACACAAAGGAACATTGACAGGATTAAAGTTAATTTCAAATTTAATGTCAAATTAGCTGAACTGAATGTTTCCAGTCCAGATATATTTACCTTGAAATTGCAATACAGATTCGAATTCTCCCTTTACTAAAAAAAACCCTGATTTCTGCGTATTAAAAAGCTTGCCAACCAGTAGATTATTATTTATAAAGAGCCAACAAATTCTGCAGTGCTGTACAATGTTCTACAAGAGCTATTGGTCAGCCCAACTTTATAATGATAATAAATGACAGCAAACGGTGCATGTCAGTGGAAGGCCTGGATCCAGAGTTGGTAAGCTGCTGACTGATATCTCTTTTCTATACGCCTAAAACTGAACAATAATACACTCAAGGGAGTTAGCATTAGACTTGAGGATTCATTTTTGCACGAACATGTTTGTCTGAACTTCAGCTATTCATCCGAAAGACAAAGGAACAAATTGGTCGTTTCACCCTGCAATTCGTTCTTTCGTTTGTTTTTCGTTTATTACAAGGAGGGAGCTACCGGCTTTTGTAATCTTATAATATTAAAAAATATAACTGCTCTGAACTGCCTAAATTGCCCCATGCTCCCCCTCACCCTATGGGGGTCAATATGACCACATATTACTATAAGGAAAGTTAAATTCTCCCTCCTGCCCCTACCACCATGTCGTGAGTTGGCGCATGTCTACTACAGCAAGCCATCAGTGGTTGCTCACTGTCATAAGAAAAGACTAGCAACTGGACTGGGCACCACCTGTCAGTCTCAAGATTTACCTGTCACGAAGACTGGTTTTTTTTTTTAAGCAGCACACTCTCAGTCAAACATAGGTCCACCTCTCACTTTATTTTTTAGGGCCCCACGCACCACCAATGTGTAGGGGGCTGAGGGTCAATAGATACACATCCCCCATTATTATTTAAGGCCCCAACCCACATAGGTCCCAACATTGCATTTAATAGCCGGGTTGGGGCTGGAGGAGGACACTAAGTTCCCAGTTTAGTTTAATTGCCCTCATACTATATCGCACCCAGTTAATTATTTAAATAAGTGCCCACAATGGAGGCCTGGCAGACCTTTACCAGGTCCCCCTTTATTGGATTAGTGACTGGTCAGTAGTTGCCCACTCGCTAGTCTTAGAAAAGCCACTTGCTGCTTGCTGTTTAGTAGACATGCCCCTACTCACAGCACTCTGGGTAGGTGTAAGAGAGAGGACACCCTCCCTTCATTTACCAATACTTAGTATTATTTCTTAGTATTCGTATAATTGTCTGAAAGCTTTCATCTTTTTAGTCGATAGCTCCCTCATCCTTGTGGGATTGCCATAAAGATACCAAAAATTATAGATATAATAAAAAAAAGCTCCCTAATTTGGCACCCTTAAAAATAGCAATCCCAATGGTACCAGTTTAGGGAGCCATCTACTAAATGGCTGTAAGAAGCAGCTGTGGCCCACGACACGGATTGGAATTTCATTAATCAAATTAAATTATGAAATAAAAAAAGTCCAAATTTAGTCTGAAAACGAATGAACAAATGGCCGAAATTCAGTTCAGACAAAGCTAATTTTTTTTTTCTGCAGATGAAACTAAAATTTCGGTGGCACCAAAGTCTAGTTGCCAATTGCTAATTTTGGATTATTTTTATGTATAACTGTCTTACAGTGCCACCTAGTGTCCATCTAAACCAATTACAATATGTTTTGTTGCTTCTATAAGGATACAGCATCACATTCACTTTACCTCTTCTTCCAGCCAATCGTTATATTGCACAATTCCTGCCATTACCACATCGGCCCCTTTCATATAGAACGTGATGTCTCCCGTAGTGTCCTCCTAATGGACAAAGTACAGAAAGAAAGAAATGTTTTAGTTTTGTTTAATTTTGGAAATTTATAAAACAGGAGACATTCTGTACAAATGAACAAAAACAATGTAACTGGGGTCAAATGAATTGAGCAAAAAGGTATAGAAAGCCTCAGTCTTGTGGGTTGGATGATGAGAGTTGCAGTCTAACGGTAACCTTAAAGAACTATTGTAGGCACTATAACCATTTCATTGAAGTGGTTATAGTGTCTGGAGTCCCCTGGCTCTGTCCCTTCATTTACTGTTCCTTTAAACCTGATTTCCACCGTTCTCAGCTATCAGAGAGTGAGGTTTGTGTTTAATTGTTGACATTATTAAAGGTGTTTAAAGACATCTACATAGGAAATGGTGCACAGCCCTTACTTCCCGTGAATGAATACCGGCCAATCAAATCTTATGGCGTGGGGTCCAACATAAATACTATGTCAACTCTCTCAGTCATGAGTCATTTCCCTTGGAGTGGGTTCAGGAGAAGGTTAGGGCTTTCTCATATGGTGGATGAATCACAACATCAATCTGCTCAAAATCATTTAACCAACATGTATTGTTTGGACAGGACAGCCTTTCCACGCATGCTCCGAGATGGCCACCATCCAGGCGTTTGTCTGGAATTCAATTCTCAAAGCCCTCATCTCTCGACCACAAACAATTGTTGGGAGGTGGTTTGGAAGATGAAAGAATCCATCGTGCTAGAACATCAAAGCCTCCAGGCATAGGACCCGACGTGTATTCTAAGACATCACAGTAAAGCCACCTTGTGACCAGAAAATACAAATGGGACTATTCTGAGGGAGGTAGCCATTGCAGCCCAATTGCCAGCACAATAAAGTAAGTTAAAGAGAGCTGAATATGTGGATGCTGTGAGGGGTTGTATTGTTACTTTGTATAATGTGTGTTAATGGAGTAAAACAGTCTTTGCAAATATCTTAAAAATATTTCTAAAATAAAAAAAAAACCTTTCCTTGCTCTTTAACCCCTTAAGGACACATGACATGTGTGACGTGACATGTCATAATTCCCTTTTATTTCAGAAGTTTGGTCCTTAAGGGGCTAAAACGGGGTTCTTGGAGATCGAGATCCATAAGCACATGCACCAATTGGATGGACTTTCTAGAGATGGGTATTCCTAATGCTATAGTGCTCTAGTCACTGTTTAGGAGACCAGGCCAGCACTGCCAGGGTTAAGAAAAGGTAGTTAATGCCTGCTTTTCCCCCAGAGAGCGCCAGTTCCCTTGCTCAAATGCGGACTCTTTGGCCGAGATCACAGATCACGGATCTCAGCCAATCCAATACTTTCCCAAAGGACAGCATTGGGAAGCTAGTGTGTCAGTTTGCCTGAGACCATTTTACTCTGCTATTTTACTGAAGCGCCTCTAGTGGGCGTCTGTTTTATTGACAGCCATTAGAAGCAAGTTAACCCTGCGAGGAAAACATTGCCGGTCCTGCAGAATAGCTGTGTGTTAAATGGGGGAACATGGCATTCAGACCTTTCATTAGTGGGACACTCCAGACCCTTAAAGCAATTTATCTTGTTGAAGTGCTTTATTTGTGAAGATTGTGTCCTCTTTTTTTTTCCATTTTAAAAAAAGTGCAGATTTCAATTAAAATTGACACTTCGAAATGAACCTTGTTACACCCCCCTGTCTGTCAATCAGACACCCAGTCCTGTTACTTCCTGGTTTGTTTAGCTCAGTGGAGATAAACTCAAGAGGCAGCAATTGCCCAGAGCACCTGCCTTGTAAAGACTTCTCATTGAGCTGCATTGGGAAGTCTGTGATTGGACAGCCACAGAAAGTCTGGAAGGGGTTAGAAGGGGAGGGCTTCCAAAGGCAGAAGACAAGAGAGATCAGCTATGTCATGTTTCCATACATTGGCCGGGAATACTAGCTGACAATAGTGGGTTGTAGTGGTTATGGTGCTTAGAGTTCCTTTTTAAGGTATAAATCTGGAAGGCGCTCACTAACCACCAACTTCAAAGCTCACAGAATTTAATAGTTTATTTTTTTCTAAAAATTTTGGTCAAAAATGATTTGAATTTAGCTACAATGTACGATGACGTATTGCATAAACCTGGCACAGAAAACGGTTTACTAACCTTGACAATTATACCCATCCGTTTGCTTTCATATGTGAAGGGGAAGATTTGCAAAATGGTGAAGTTTAGAATTTGGCCACTAGGTGTCCTCAGCTGCATGGAAGATTGATCTCTTCCAACCAGAGTCAACCCAACACTCTCCGTCCATTGCACAAGCGCCACCTGGGTCACAGAAAGCGTAACAGGTCAATAATGTGCAGAGCAAATAAAAGATACATTGAAACACAACAATCCTAGTCATAGCTCCTCCATTATACAGCACCATGGAATCTGATGGCGCTATATAAATAATAAAAATAATAAGAATTGCTATCTCCCCACAAGGTCCTATTACACTCAATGAAGCCTGGCAGACGTTGGCGTTTATTAAGGATAGCACACGTTGGCCAACTAAGGCCCTATGTATTTATTGAACTAAAATTCCCATCATTCTCAGAACGACCTGCTAGATAACAGAAGGGCAGGTGAAATGAGGCTTTTGGAGAGCTCCAGGTTTTTTAAAACCATTCCAACTGTCCAACCAAAAAAGGACCCAAACACTTCTGGCCCAATAATTACTATAATAAACTGAAATAGTTCAACAAACAGTAACAGTACTTAGAGTGTCCCTTTAATTAGTGTATTCCAGTATATATACAGGGACAGTGAATAGGGAATATCACCAACTGCTGGAGGAAGATTGCCCTAAAATATTGGTGTTCATAGAGCCACACACACAGACACACACCAACACACAGATGGCCCGCGCTGTCAATCAGCCTGATACTTTGTATATGTTAAGACACACGCTCCTGATTACAAGGGTGGGCTAATCACATCACTTAGTATAAAGGGGTCGCTTGTCAGAATGAGCCTTCTGCAGGCAATGTGAATTGGCTTCCTAAATACAGACATGTAGCCGGAATTGGACGTTGTCTCTGTATATGTTACAAAACACGTGGGAACAGGACCATGCAGGGGAATCCACACTCACTCCCTCCCTCTAAGAATTATTATTATTAGGATATATACATTAATGCATATTTTTAACATTTTGTTTTTTCATGAATAGAAAACCCAACCGTGTCCTTTAACCTCTTAAGGACCAAACTTCTGGAATAAAATGGAATCATGACATGTCAGACATGGCATGTGTCCTTAAGGGGTTAAAAGGAAATGAAATTAGCGAGAAAGCACTTAATCATAGGATTTGGTCAGTCACCAGTTTCAAGCAGGTATGACACTGCGACAGATACATAGGATTTACTTTGTGGATGAATATAATAAGAGAACGTTAGAATAATTATAAAAATATATATATTTGTTTGCATTTTTGGAATGGTTTAAGTTAAACATAATAAAAATTATAAAATTGTGCATTGACTAAACCACGGTGCAGAATTGATAACAAATTTTAGATTAAATAAAAATCTGGGCTGGAAAAAAGTCCTGTTTGGTTAATTTGCCCTAAACATCTTTATTCCCTTGGCTGAGTTTAGTGATTAACCCAATATGCTCGGTCTATTTCCAGCTCAGTCTATTTCTTATTCTAACAGAGTCGTTTTAAGCAATGGGGATGGTGCTAGATATCTGAATGTCGTTACTCTGTCCTCTCGGTCCCTTATCTGCAATCTGTTTATATCGATTTCACTCCCCTGATAGGTACCCCGGGGCCGTAACCGATACGAGAATGAGAAAGTATTTTGGAGGGAGGGAAAGCACAGGAAACCAATTTAGGAAATCCTGAGGTCTGTTTCAGGAAACAAATTGCAAACCGACTGGTAAAATATATTTAAAATTATTGTAAAGAAGTGAAAGAACAAACAATGCCCCACGTAATTCATGGCAGTGACTTCCTGGATACAGAGAGATCTGATACAATTACTCTGTAAAAACGCATTGCAGAGCCTGTATTGTCAGCACCAACGTGGACTTAGGAACTGGATAGTTACATCTAATATTCATTACATTCAGCTATTCTGAAATAGAGACGGAATAGTTTAAAAAAAAAAGAAAAACACTTTTAAATGATTTGCATAAATGGAGAGAATTTTTAGGTTGAATGTGCGATTCTAGCTTTGTATTTAGCAGTATAGGTTTCTGTGAATATGTACAGATCCTTTCTCTATACATTGGATCAATTAATAAATCGATAGATTTCTGATTAAACCCTCCTGCAGTCATGTGATTGTCTTTATCTCTGTGAAAGAAGCTACATATTCTGTCTAAAGGTGCAATATAGTATGGATAGAATTTATAGCATTGTTTGAAATGATATGTATTTACAATAATAAAACACATTTCGCGCTGTTGTATGCTTCCATTATGTGAGAACTTTGCACAATCCAATTTCATAGGTTTGTTACTTAATAAAAGCCAAAACTATATCGAAGAAGCTTTTTCATAAGTGAAAATAATACTTTGCAAAAGTTACAAAACATTAATGGTTCCATCGTTTACAGCGGCACGGCCCCCTCCTTATGGACACGCACTAACGCGGTCTACGGACACACGCACTAACGCGGTATACGGACAGATACTAACACGGTACACGGACACGTACTAACACGGTACACGGACACACACTAACACGGTACACGGACACACACTAACACGGTACACGGACACACACTAACACGGTACACGGACACACACTAACACGGTATACGGATGTGCACTAACACGGTATATGGACACGCACTAACACGGTATGCGGACACACACTAACACAATATATGGACACACACTAACACAATATGCGGACACACACTAACACAATATATGGACACACACTAACACGATATACGGACACACACTAACACGATATACGGACACACACTAACACAGAATACGGACACACACTAACAATATATGGACACACACTAACACGGTATACGGACACACACTAACACGGTATACGGACACACACTAACACGGTATACGGACACACACTAACACGGTATACGGACACGCACTAACACGGTACACGGACACGCACTAACACGGTACACGGACACGCACTAACACGGTACACGGACACGCACTAACACGGTACACGGACACGCACTAACACGGTATACAGACGTGCACTACACGCACTAACACGGTATACGGACACGCACTAACACGGTATACGGACTCACTAACACGGTATGCGGACACACACTAACACAATATATGGACACACACTAACACGGTATACGGACACACACTAACACGGTATGCGGACACACACTAACACAAATATATGGACACACACTAACACGGTATACGGACACACACTAACAGTATACGGACACACACTAACAATATATGGACACACACTAACACGGTATACGGACACACACTAACATGGTATACGGACACACACTAACACGGTATACGGACACACACTAACACGGTACACGGACACGCACTAACACGGTACACGGACACGCACTAACACGGTACACGGACACGCACTAACACGGTATACAGACGTGCACTAACACGGTATATGGACACGCACTAACACGGTATACGGACACGCACTAACACGATACACGGACACACTAACACGGTATGCGGACACACACTAACACAATATATGGACACACACTAACACGGTATACGGACACACACTAACACGGTATGCGGACACACACTAACACGGTATGCGGACACACACTAACACAATATATGGACACACACTAACACAATATATGGACACACACTAACACGGTATACGGACACACACTAACACAGTATACGGACACACACTAACACAGTATACGGACACACACTAACAATATATGGACACACACTAACACGGTATACAGACACACTAACACGGTACACGGACACACACTAACACGATCGGATGTATAGTGACATGATCCACAGGATCGCGCATATAATCATAACTGTAAGTTTGTATCTATTGCTATAAAGCACAGAATATCAACATTTCAGTAAATATTCACCTTACACAAGAAATATTATAGAAGCAGATTACCTAACTGTATAAACACATGGCATTCTCCAAGTAATGTCAAATAATCCAGTGGGTTTTTACTTTGGGATGCAAGTCTTTTGAGGTTCCATATTCCAAGATCATTTACTTGGACAAATCACACAGGCCAAGATGAACTGGCACTCTCTAATATTTTTAAAGATACTGTAGGACTCTATGTCTCCAGCTAGGACCTCAGACTAAAAATGCCCAGTAGGTCTTACAGCTTCTACTGAGACACCAAGAATCAATTATATTCAAACAAGACGTCAGTACTCCGTCTCAGAGAATGATGGCTGTAAAATATTACATAATATTCTAGTTGTTCGCCATCACTACATCAAGACATTACACAATGAAGATAAAAACCCCAGCGAATCTCTTGGCATTAGACTAACTGTGAGGAGCTATTCTTACATACAAACTCACACAGGATATGTTAGAATTGCAAACTTAACAACCCACTGTGTCTTTGTCTGAATACCTCATCAGGGCTGGAAGCCTGATACACTCTGCAGGAATCCTCAAACTGGCGTTCAGCCTCGGCCTGGTCAGTCACGCCATTAGATTCATAGGAAGGCGTCACATTGTGGCACAGGGCGATACCCTTCACGGCCTCATACACCCGGCTGCTCATAGTTTTCCGTACTTTGGTGGTCAGGCCTTTTTGAGCAGGAGGGTCTTGAGAAGGCTGGAGGAAGACAGAGCAAAATACAATAAAAAACAAATGAGAAAATAAAATAAACATTGCGGCATTACACAATGAGTCCAAACGCTCAAACAAATATATGCAGATATAACATAAGACAGTCTAAATTTCATTGAAAATCTTATTGTATACGCACGTTTTAAAATATCCAGGCAATGTGTGAAAGAATCGGGATATTTACGTTTAGAGGTATTTCCCAGGGACACTTACTGGCAATGTGGTCTGACCAGGATACGACCCTGGGGACACTGACATTACAACAGATACGTTGGTAGACCATCTGAAAGAGAGAGATTACATCTGTCTCCCCATTCTCTCTACCTGCATCACACAACAGGAAAAGGGTCAGAATTATCTGTAGCAGCTGCAAATTGAATTCACTGGCAGGTTGGGATAGATACGTCCCAAAGCTAGCAATCTCTGGCCGGGATACGTGCGTCCCAATGCTAGCAATCTGTGCCCAGGATACGTACATCCCAATGCTAGCAATCTCTGGCCAGGATACGTACGGCCCAATGCTAGCAATCTCTGGCCGGTATGTGCACGTCCCAATTCTAGCAATCTCTGGCCGGTATGTGCACGTCCCACTTCTAGCAATCTCTGGCCGATATGTGCACGCCCCAATTCTAGCAATCTCTGGCCGGTATGTGCACGTCCCACTTCTAGCAATCTCTGGCCGGTATGTGCATGTCCCACTTCTAGCAATCTCTGGCCGGTATGTGCATGTCCCACTTCTAGCAATCTCTGGCTGGAATGTGTCCGTCCCAATGCTAGCAATCTCTGGCCGGTATGTGCACGTCCCACTTCTAGCAATCTCTGGCTGGTATGTGTACGTCCCAATTCTAGCAATCTCTGGCTGGAATGTGTCCGTCCCAATTCTAGCAATCTCTGGCTGGAATGTGTCCGTCCCAATGCTAGCAATCTCTGGCCGGTATGTGCACGTCCCACTTCTAGCAATCTCTGGCCGGTATGTGCACGTCCCACTTCTAGCAATCTCTGGCCGGTATGTGCACGTCCCAATTCTAGCAATCTCTGGCCGGTATGTGCACGTCCCACTTCTAGCAATCTCTGGCCGGTATGTGCACGTCCCACTTCTAGCAATCTCTGGCTGGTATGTGTACGTCCCAATTCTAGTAATCTCTGGCTGGAATGTGTCCGTCCCAATGCTAGCAATCTCTGGCTGGAATATGTACGTCCCAATGCTAGCAATCTCTAGTCGAGATGTGTACAGCCCAAAGTTAGCAATCTCTGACCGGGATACGTATGTCCCAATGCTAGCAATCTCTGGCCAGGAAGTGTACGTCCTAATGCTAGCAATCTCTGGCCGGGATGTGTACGTCCCAATGTTAGCAATCTCTGCCCGGAATAAGTACGTCCCAATGCTAGCAATCTCTGGCCGGATTGTGGACATCTCAAAGCTAGCAATCTCTGGCCGGATTGTGGACGTCTCAAAGCTAGCAATTTCCGTTTGGGATTCGTACGGCCCAGTAGTCACTCACACCATACATTACAGTTTTTATTACATGGTGTGATATTTCATCCTGTGCCTAGATCACGTCATATATATATCTCACACACCTACACTCATAAATACCCATAAACACTGCAGAGCATAATATTTTGATTATCAATTATTTTCCCTATGAGTAACAGAAGCTGAATCACATATTTACAATAAGTTGTCCGGTTATGTGCCCCATTAAAAACATATTGAAAGGAGTCAAAGACCAAGTGACCTTTTTCTTTGGAAAAGCTTGACCTTTATGGATATGATTAATGTAAACGCATACCAGATGGCACAATATGAGAAACTAGCCCAGTCCTCTCCATTAAATAATACAGGACTATTTTTAGTATTGGCTTCCAACTCCTCATGTAATTAGGCAATTACTTAATTAGGCTGGTCACACAGCGGACAGAGAGACTATGCTTCCTGCTCTGTTAACCTCTCGTGTCAGAGCCACACAAAAAAAGTTTTACTTCCAGATCACGGGGTCACAGAATGGAAATAATAATTGAAGTAATGAATCAGATCTACAGTTCCAATGAATTGGAATTGAACAAATGGTTCCAATTAAGAAAAAAAAAAATAGCCCATATTGTGGACTTAATTGAGTTGCCACTGATGGCCCCTAGGCCTTGTCCCACCTGCAAATGATCAAAACGTAGATCTACTTCATGATCTTTTCTAAATGGACACCAAAAATATTTCTACTTACGGGATTCTGTATCACAGCTACCAAATCATTCTCCCCACTCCTGCCCCATGAAACCAGTCTGACATTTCCTCCCCCTCCTCAGGTCTTTAATTGAAAACACTTTAAAACATCCATTAATATTATTATTTTCCTTTGAAAGTCTTTTTTATTGTGGTGGAAAAAAATATTTATTGTCGATCTAACAATTCTTTCCTTGTGTGGTCAGAATGTCAGATGTCTGAATAGCATTGCGATGATGTCTTTATTAGAAGTAGTTCTCATTCGTAATGTACGTTCAAATTAAACATTAAATCTTTAAAGTAATTCTTGTTCAGTGTTTAATGCGGTTGTGTTGGAAAAACACAAATCCAAAACAGGCTATCCGAACTGTCCAGCTTCCAGTCTTTAAAAGGAGACAATCTATCCTTCTACAATGTATTGGCCTTCACTATGTCTATCTAACTGAAAAACCCTAAGCAGAACTGGCTAACTGCCTAGTTAAATATATTAACCTAACATGTTTTCTAGCCTATGTTTTTTGTCATACAGAAAGATAATTTCACAGTCCAATCATCGTTGGAAATAGAGTTTCTCATATCATGTAGATTCCTACTCACCTATCCACGTAGATTGTTCAGTTCAAGACATTTATTTTATATGAGTTATACACTATATATTTTGTTTTTATTTTATTTTATTTTTTTAGAAATGGTTTGCCTTCATTAGAATGGAATTCTTTTACTCATTTAAATAATTTTAGCACATTTGTAGTAGATAAAACATAAAATATAAGATCAGACCTGGGTGTAGATGCTGAAGATATGGCTCTGTACTTCGTCCATCGAATCCATGCCGTAGGCCACCGTGCCCAAGTGAAGTCGCTTGAAAACCATTTCATTCTGAGTCAGAGTCCCTGAGAGAATAAACAGGTCATTCACCCCCTGCTGAATCCAACTCTAATCATACCCTCCATCAGGTAAAAAATATCTATATATAAATTTGTAGTCTCGGGCTTGGGCCTTCCATCTGTCAGTGCTTCAAAAAAAAAAAAATAGATAAAAAAAAAAAAACGGAACTACAAAAACTATAAATATATTCTTAGAATATGTGGAAGCTTTTAATCAGTGCATAAACAAGCTCTTAACAAAAGTTGTAAAACGTGGATAGAGTCAGACTAGACTAGAAAATAAGCTTGGAAAACCAATTAGGATTAATGCTTACTAAGGCAGCTAAAAAAAAGTCTCTCTAGCTGCCGATGTGTAGAAGTTACAAGTTACCGGTTTTATCTGTCAGTAAATAAGAAATCCGCCCCAGTTGCTCTGGAATGGTGCTTGATCTAACCACCGTCCCCGGAATCTTGGAATCTCTACGGATCATCCAACTGTACACGATCTTCCCCATATCTAAATTTACTCGCAAACTGCAAAACAGAAGCAATGTGTTTATAAATACAATTTAAAAAAAACAAACAACAAAAAAAACTTAAATTATATTACGAAAGGACCTGACACATGCAATATCAAAACTCTAAAAATGCTACAGTTCAGCATCAATGCCCTATGACTTAGCCATGGCTGCACGGCCATATATCAAGTATTTAGGATCATTTTCACATTTAAGCATTTTAATTTATTTTTTTTACGTGATGCAAGGACGACATGTTGGGTTATCGTGCTACAAGCATACATTTGATAGTGGGTCACTGCAGAATTCAGATATCACTTAGTTAGGGTGAAACGTCAGTCTGTGTGGGCACCAAATGCACTTTGTCTACACCAGTACACCGTGTGTTCAGTACAGATTGTTTTGCCGATGTAGAACAAGGCAGATTTATTCATGTTCTTTTCGGGGAATGTTCGATTGGAAATCGGAAGTCTCTGGCCAGAATTCAGTAGTCCAGTTTTTGTGATCAGCAACATATCCCTACCTTTCCGTCTGGTCCAGGAATAGTCACATTGTACATTTAGTGACATTTTTATTAACAAGCAGTTTGATTTAAATACTGCAGTGAAAGCACAGAATTGGTATAGTCTTTAAATTTTAGGCTTAACAACATGTGCTGCATGCTTGAAGAGTTATTAAGAGATGGCATTCAAGTCCTTACGGAAGGGATCTCAAACTCTGGACCTTCACATGTTGATAGCCACCAACCACCAGAATTTTTATAATAGATAGCCAGAGAATCATGGTAATAACAGTTCAGCAACATCTGGGAGAAAAGAGTTTGGGACGCCTACCCTAATGACTTTATATGCGATTTAAGACTTACGTTGTAGAACCACAAAGTCAGCGTGAATTCAGTGGAGATATTTGTTGGTAGCACTTGTATCATAATTGCATTAATATAGTTTACAGCACCAAAGCATTGTGTGGTGCGGTTGCTGGGCACAGTAGGTTAATGTCACACTTGCTGGGCACAATAACCCATCGGGCAACAGTCAACAAACAGTAATGATGCATAGTGTAGGGGGCACTGAGAAGGTGCACGTGGCCATGGCACACTTGCTGACACCGTTCTTTAAGAAAGGAGACTCTGGCAATGGATCCTCGCATTTCCGCACAGGACCCTAACAGTTTATGTTCAACTTTACACAATGTTTGTGTGTTTCATGCTACCAGAAAACCGTTAATGAAGGTTATCCATTTTTTTGTGAGCAATCCATGTCGTTTTCTTAAGAAATCCATGAAAGTGTGCAGAGGAAATCGTGAACATTTTTTTGAATGATAGTCCATAACCAAAATCCAGTAGACTCAAAATAATTTTGTAAAGGAAAAAGTGTGAACTCGAGTTTCACTACAGACTATAAATTGAGCTGAAGGTACTTTAGCTTTCAGAACGGCCAGTCACTGGATACGATCACACCAGACTTGGTTTCCAAGATGCTTCATCCACTATATACCACAACAACTTCAAAGAACATTCAGAATTCTAATTAAATTATCTGTAGAGTAATCAAGATTGCCGGCTATGGAGCGATAGAGAATGATTATTTGTGTTTAAAAACAAGATTCAACAAGTGTGCCTGTGTATCTGTCTGTCTGAGATCAATCACCGAGTATTGTTTGACCCTAGAATGCCTCTCTTCATTAGTGATGACATTGGTAAATTAATAAGATGTTGTATAAAATGTTGTAGATTTGGGGTGATTTAATATTCTAAAAATTGATTGCAGGATCAAGATCGACTGGTTTCTCCAAGGGAAGCTCCTATAGTGGCGGTCAGGATCTCTGTGACTATTGGTCCTTTATATATTTCAACAAAACCCTCAATATATTAATATCGCTGATAAAGTCAGGTCAGATTCTCATTATTTCGGACATTAACCAGCCGCACACACCTGATCGGGATGATGTTAGAGAAGAGGAGCAAGAATCGGATAATCTGCAGATACCATCGACCTGCGAAGTGCTGCAGCGCCACCATAACTAGAGACACGACAATGAGTGCGCTGAACAGGATCTTCGTCAGACAGTTCACCTCCAAGTCAAAGAGTCCAATCTATAAGGAGAGCGCCAGGAGAGCACATTATAATCACCATGCACACAGCCACCCAGATAAATATTAACATCACAGATATCATCACCAGAATAAGCAGCACAACAGAGGGGACTTTTTTCATGTAAACAAAAAAAAAAAATTATGCTTTTTTTTGTGGTGTAACAATATTATCCCAGCAATAAAACTCACAGTAATGTGCAGTGTGTATGGGTGTATCACAGATCTCCACAGCAGTAAAACTCACAGTAATGCATTGTGTGTATGAGTGTATCATAGAGCTCCACAGCAGTAAAACTCACAGTAATGTGCAGTGTGTATGAGTGTATCACAGAGCTCCACAGCAATAAAACACACTCATACACACTGTGCATTACTGTGAATCACAGAGCTCCACAGCAATAAAACTCACATCAATATGAAGAGTCTATGATTGTATCTCAGAGCTCCACAGCAGTAAAACTCACAGCAATGCATAGTGTGTATGAGGGTATCACAGAGCTCCACAGCAATAAAACTCACAGTAATGCATAGTGTGTATGAGGGTATCACAGAGCTCCACAGCAATAAAACTCACAGTAATGCACAGTGTGTATGAGTGTATCACAGAGCTCCACCGCAATAAAACTCACAGTAATGCACAGTGTGTATGAGAGTATCACAGAGCTCCACAGCAATAAAACTCACAGTAATGTGAAGTGTGTATGAGAGTATCACAGAGCTCCACAGTAATAATACTCACAGTAATGCACAGTGTGTATGAGAGTATCACAGAGCTCCACAGCAATAAAACTCACAGTAATGTGCAGTGTGTATGAGTATCACAGAGCTCCACAGCAATAAAACTCACAGTAATGTGCAGTGTGTATGAGAGTATCACAGAGCTCCACAGTAATAATACTCACAGTAATGCACAGTGTGTATGAGAGTATCACAGAGCTCCACAGCAATAAAACTCACAGTAATGTGCAGTGTGTATGAGAGTATCACAGAGCTCCACAGCAATAAAACTCACAGTAAGGTGCAGTGTGTATGAGAGTATCACAGAGCTCCACAGCAATAAAACTCACAGTAATGTGCAGTGTGTATGAGAGTATCACAGAGCTCCACAGCAATAAAACTCACAGTAAGGTGCAGTGTGTATGAGAGTATCACAGAGCTCCACAGCAATAAAACTCACAGTAATGTGCAGTGTGTATGAGAGTATCACAGAGCTCCACAGCAATAAAACTCACAGTAATGTGCAGTGTGTATGAGTATCACAGAGCTCCACAGCAATAAAACTCACAGTAATGTGCAGTGTATGAATGTATCACAGAGCTCCACAGCAATAAAACTCACAGTAATGTGCAGTGTGTATCAGTGTATCACAGAGCTCCACAGCAATAAAACTCACAGTAATGTGCAGTGTATACGAGTAAAAATTAAAGAGAAATAAAAGTGATCACAGTGCCTGCCAGACAGCTTGGTAAATGTGACGGTTTTAGTCAGTCTGTACCTTGCTCCTTGGATTTGAGGCGTTCATTACACTGCGCTGTTCTCGACCAGTATATAAAACTACGCCAACAACTGTACCTGAAAGGAAACGCAAATTACAGAAAGTTACAGAGTGCTTAATGCAAACAAAAAGATTCCTCAACAGGAGTCGTAGTTTTGGAAACAGTAATTTCAAAAAAGGAGTTTAATAGCTTGAACCATGCAGTGTCCCCGGCACCATATGTGGCATAGTATAAGTGCATGTGATTCCCAGCATCTGATTGGTTATTAACCTCAAGACTCTAGGGCAGGGGCAAGCAATGCATGGCATCATGCCAGCATTATGGAGCATTATGGGATATGTAGTCTGCAACATCTGGAGTGCCCACGGTTGCCTACCCCTGGTCTAGGGGATGAAAAGCCAAGAAGAATAAGCAATATGAGGTTATCCTTGCTCACTGGAGTTTAATCAATCAACAGGGAATTGTAGTTACTTTAACATTTTGGCAAAAATGGCAGATTTGGAGGGGAACATCCCCAGTTCAGCTATAGTCACAGCTTAGCTAGGTTAGCCTGAACTGTGGGAGGGAGCTGGTTTGGCACTTAACCAATGGCCCAAGTGGCCCAAGTGGATTATAATCCAAGATTTTACAACAGCAGCTTCGGTAAGTGAGATTTGTAGTCCATTCTAAACTAATGCATACTATTTAACCCTTTATCACAAATATCTATCATTTAGCCAAGACATCGAAAGTTAGAGACAAGGAGTCTTCCGCTAATTTCCCCAATCAAACCACACCTGGAACAACTGCAAAAGGTTATCATTTGTTTTGTGTTCAGTGTATTATATTAATTATTTATATTGAATTTCCAAAGATACAATGTATAATGTATTAGCTGTTAACTCCTGGGTCAAGACCCAAACGTCGTTCCCTGAAATCCAGACATTATTTACATCCTGTTTATTAAAGTGATTTAAAATCTTTCTTTACAGAAAATGTTGCCAGTTTACACAAAAAAAATTGATAGTGGTGGAACAAATGGCAGAAATATTAATAAATCTGTTGCATTGGTGACGAAATGGCAGCTAGGGAGCAAACAGCGCAATATCTGACAGATTTAATAAATTGCGCAAAAAATTCACAGAAAATTTAAATTGAAAAGTGGACGTGACACATTGATAAATCTCCCCATAGTAGTAATATTAAGTCCCAGGCAAAGTCCCAAATTAAAAGGATTTCTGCAGCAATCCTAACTTTAAAAGACCCCTCTGACACTGAGAATTCATCTCACCACATATTATATTACACTTGGATATTTGGTCACCCACCTATCGCCATGACATTATTTAGGTCTTAGCCAGAAATGTTTTAGAATCCGTGGTGTAACAGGACTGAGGACCTAGTACCCAGTGACGGAACGGTGTCCTCAAAACACTCGTTAAACCTACTCTTGTAAAGTATATAGTTATATAGAGTCAAATATGGCCGGCACAAACGTCTGATTTGAAATTAGAGCTTTTATGGCATTCTTTGCTTTAGAGTAAAGATAAATAATGTCTTTTTTTCTTTTTATAATTTTAAGCTTGCATGCATTAATTGGCTTATAATAAAGAGATTTCCATTTATAAAATCACGTTAATCTGGTAGTTGTTGCCAGTGACGCCATGCTGATAAAATTGCTGCTTAAATATAACTAAATTGATTTTACAATCTGAACTGAACCGGAGGGCTAGCGATATCCCAGGACTGTACCTCAAACAAAAAAAGATTTGCTCACCCTGGTCCTGAACGGGTTAAGAAACACATCTTCCACTAAAAACGTAAAAAGAACTGGAAAGGGTTAATCTGCACCGGGGATTGGCAAGCTGTGTCCAGAACTCCTATAGCCAAGGGGCAATTTATAAAGGGATCCGTCTGTAAGAAAGCCAACCTGGATATGGTCTAATGTTGGCCAAGTCTCTCAACGTAAGGAGAGCACTTTCAAAATGTAAGCTGGTCAGAAATGAAGCTGCAGCAGTGCATTCTGGGACATGTACTTTGCATACATTTGCAGTGCTAAGGTTAACCATAACTGGCCAAGCAGATTTCAGAATTACCAATTATCGTGAATTGTAAGTTGTTCACAAACAAAAGCCTTTCTAGGTTTACTGTATATTAACGGACTGCACAAACCTTGTATGGTACTGCGCTACAAAACATGTTGACGCTTTCTAAATGTTAACAGCATCGTAATCAATATGTTTGTTAATGGGAGAGGATGATTAGAAGTCATGGCTAATTAAAGGGCCTTTAGAAATGTCCAGTTGTAGCACTCATCTGGACTTCCAGGCTGTATATGATTTTTGTTAAATTAAAAATGCAAGGTTTTGTCTAATTTTATTTTGAACAAATTAAACAAACAGGGTGGCTCTCTTGGAAATTAAACCTTTTTTTAAAATTACATTTATAGAAAGACAAAAAAGCAACATGTAAGTTGTAGTAAGGCAGTCTGAGCGTGATAGGAGTGGGAGGTCTACTTAGGATCATAAAATCAATTTTTCTGGATTTTTTTCCTGCTGTTAATCTTTGTTTAGAAATGTCTGGGGGCTGGACGTGGGTGGATGCCATTTTTCATTCCCTTGTGAAGTTAAAACAGTTGTCAAAAACAAAAATGTGACACTAATTTTCTCAATGACAGACACAATTATTTTCAATTACAGACAGATAAACGAGGGATTAAATTGTTAACATGCCCATTTAAAGAGAAAGAATGTGTGTCGTTACCGGAAGCAATGACCGTGCTTGCCCACAGCGTGTTCTCAATACTTAAACTCTCGTTTATGGGGGGGTCGCTGTCCTCCTAAAACATAAAGAGAGAAAAATGTAAAATCTTTACAAATACGGAATATTCCATCACAGTGAGTGTAACATAAAGGCTCGGTTCCACAATGATCCCCTAAACAGAATGTGGGGGTTCGCTTACTATGAAAATACAAACAAGATAGTGATAACAAAGGGGATCAGTATAAATTAATTTAAAAAAAAAGACGGAATAGACCATAAAGGGATATTAACTACTAAACCTCGAATTAAAAAGAAATTACAGGGAGTTTCAAATTTAAGGCCAAAAAAAGCTGAGCACCGCTAACAGACAGTTCTACCAAGCTGATTACTTTGGCCTTAAATGTGACAATTCCTGTTGAATTCTCAGCTGTTTAGTGAACAATCCCCATTAGTAAATACAATGCCTCATAGGGAATTGTGGTCAATCGTCTTTAACGTGCGATTCCCTTTCAATTCTCTGCAGGTTCCGAGAAACCTCTTAAACAACATTTTGATTTAAAAAAAAAACAAAAAACACAACTATTTAAAAATCACAGAACATAAGGCGATAATCTAATTATAATAAATATTTTACTATTTATTAAAACAGGAAAATGGAGAGAAATATTAGAGATATTAGGTTAGATTTCCTATTAGATAATATACCAAACACATAGATGCAGATAATATTAAAATTACATGAATTAAGCAAACACTATGTGATCGTTAACTAGATCTTAGATAGCTTCAAATATTATGTAGTGAATTTAAAACCCTGTTAAATGAATGCCAAGGACGAGTTTTCTTCATTTTCAGTTGTGTGTGACAAAGGCCGATGTCTTGTAAATAATGGAATTTTAGTGACTGTTACTCACTCGGGTGAAAGTACCGGCAAAATTGTGAATGTCTATATTTGGTTCCTCTGCGTACACGTAGGATCGGATCTGAAGCAGGTCCTACAGGATAGAATCAGGAAAACAAAGGGAGTAAATATATAGCAATTTTGGAACAATACGCACCTAAAGGGGGCAGATTACTTTGTGTTCCCATCACATATTTATACAGATTATTGTACAAACTCGAGGCAGCATAACTTCAAGATACAGAGACTGTAAATCCTTTTAATTACAGAGATGATTATGACAGGGAATTAATCAAATTTAATGTAATTTAAAGTGAAACTATAATCACCAACACCATTACAGCTTAATATAGTGGTTCGGAGGCATATAGCAAGTCCACGAAGGCTGAGGAGTGTAAACAGGGTCTTTTCTGAGAAAAGGCAATGTGTATCCTGCTGCCTAATGCCACCTCTAATAGCGGTCACTCGATAAGTCACTCTGACAGCCACTAGTTGGTCTTCCTGGATGAGGTCCAGAGGAAGATGCTGATTGGCGCATCGATTCCAAATGCTTTTCTTTGGGAGAGCATTGAATTGGCTGAGATCATCAAGGTTGATGATCTCAGTCAGGGAGGTATCGTGGCTGCGGTGAGACTAGAGTATCGCGAGTGGACAGGTAATTAAATCTGCTTTTTTGTTCACATGGGAGAGGGGTGAAATAATCTAAATAGTTGGTAGGACACTATAGCAGTAGGAATACAACAATTTTAACTAATGCTATAATGTTCCTTTAAGTACATAAAACAGGGTTAAAAATGAATTTGGGCTTAGAATCAAGAACAATATTGTCAGTTCACTAAGATTGTCCAATGTCAATCGTTCCATCGGTATTCAGATTTTGTTTTGCACGGACAGAATTTTGAACCCTTCATACCAATAACAGGCTGTCAATGTTAGCACTTTGTGTGATGTACTACTTATTAATTAGCTCTGTAATCCGTTTAGACAACTTATCGCTCATTCATAAATGATGAAAATTACAAATTCACCGTCAGAATTTATAAATTTAAACAATACCTTTCGGCTGACTCTCAAAACTACTGCTTTAGGAAGAGCAATGTGAATTGACAAAAATCACCAAAATTAAAACATAGGTGATTTGGTGATTTTTTTCCAATTCAGCCATTTCAATCTAAATTTCCAAATTCGTAGTTAATTCAGTTTTCATTATTGACAATTTCCATTTTACTGACTACACCGACTTGTTAATGAAGACATTAAAAAACAATGTATTTGAAGATAAAATAAATAACAAAATAGATTTCTCTTCTAGAAAGGGACGGACACCACATTTCCTGGTGCAGAACATTCTAGCTTAAGGGATCATTATCATTCGTACGTGGCGGGTGTGCAGCCAGAAATTCACTCTACAATATGTACAGTACAAAACGCACTGACGTGTCTCTGTCGGGGAGAATGTTGGTGCTGCAAACGCAGTGTGTTTCAGTTTAACAACCAAGTGTAACTAAAGCAGCATGTTTAGATCAATGTAGGGATCAAATCGTGTCACCTATAGAGTGACGCCAGGCCATGTTTGAAACGACAGGTGCACATTAGAAGTATGAATAAAATGTAACACGCACTTTACTAATAGTCTTTTTCCCAGAATAAGAAATGATAAGTGTTGAACTAACATGTATTGGTCAAACGAGAAGAAAAGTGACATTAAGGTGTCAAAAATACAGACCAAAGAAATGCAATGCTTGTCACATACACATGATAAACATTTAGTGGCAAAATGGCAAGAACAGTATTCCAGAGCCAAAGTTCAATATTTAAACAGCCCACAATAAATTCTCCGCACTGTGCCTGTTTGTTCAGTAGGCCACACGTAAACATTCCTGTGTAATCACAGCGAGCGCAGTGTCAATCCAAAAACAAACTTATTTTTACATTTCCATAAAAAGAACAAAGAAAATTAGAAAACATCTGGACAGCCTCGGGCAAGGGGCTGAATGTTGGCAGATGACGTTCTCTAGGTCTCCAGTCATCCTACATTTTAGTCTGTGGTGCCAGGAACTCGCATCATTGACCCCTCTGGCACTCAAGGTGTTAATATTTTTTTCCATGCTCACCGCAGAATGCCGGGTGCTGGGGCATTTATAGTGCTGCCCCCATTTCAAAATTAACCAAGTGCTTAGCTTTGCAAAATTAGCAGCTTTTTGAATTTATTTATTTTTTTACCCAGCAGCTAAAGAAACGGTAACATAATGGAACGTTGAGATTAATTTGAATTCCCAAACTCCGAGCTGAAATGCAACCAAATCACAAACCTCCCAAGTCACGCAATTCTAAACATGTTGGTTTTACTTTGCGATTATATTTCCGCCCATGGCACCAAACAAAAGACCGATGGGAGAAATATAGAACTGATGGGAAAAATATGATCTAAAATCATGAAATTTGGCAGATTCGATAAGACTGCATCTTAAAGGCGACAATTTTATTTCCCCAGATTTAAGCAATAAGTGAAAGAAGGCTCCAAATATATAAAGCAGCCAAACAGAAGAGACGTCTAGATATTTTTACATTACTCTCTGTAACTGGACTGGATTGCACCATTCAGGGTTTTTATTATCAAGCTCTTGATGTAGGCCTGGGATATGATGATATAAAGTAGTCGTGTGTGATAGTATAGATATGAATATGGGATGTGAACTTACTGCAGCCGTGGGCAGCCTCTGGGTACAGGCTACAGGTAGACGCAACTTCCAGTCAGTCTCTCCATCTAGCTGATCCGTGCGCAGAAAGCAGGAGCCTACAGATATACACATTGCGTTAACAAATGGGAGCCACTTCCAGTCTGAGAAAGATTTCACTCTCAAAACAGGTTTCTTTGGATGGCAGAGAGAGACAGAAAGCAGGAGAAGGTCTCTGAGTGACATAAAACTACAGAAAAGAATACCTTAAATAAAAAAATTTAAAAAGGTAACACAATAAATGTTATTTTTGTTAATTCTAAATATGCTGCAATCTAATGTGCTCTCTCTCAACTGGCAATGCTGCGCATGCGCATTAGCGCTCCCCATAGGAAAGCACTGAAAATGCATTTCAGTGCTTTCCTATGGGGAATTAAGCAACGCTGGAGGTCCTCACACAGCGTGAGGATGTCCAGCGATGCTGCTAGGAACCAGGAAGTGCCCTCTAGTGGCTGTCTAGTAGACACTAGAGGTGGAGTTAACCCTGCAATAATAAAAAAACTGCAATAATTACACTTGCAGGGTTAAGAGTAGTGGGAGTTGGCACCCAGACCACTCCAATGGGCAGAAGTGGTCTGGGTGCCTGGAGTGTCCCTTTAAAGGATCTTAACATGTATAGCTTGGAGGAAAGACGAGACAGGGGAGATATGATAGAAACATTTAAATATATAAAGGGAATCAACACAGTAAAGGAGGAGACTATATTTAAAAGAAGACAACAAGAGGACATAGTCTTAAATTAGAGGGGAAAAGGTTTAAAAATAATATCAGGAAGTATTACTTTACTGAGAGGGTAGTGGATGCATGGAATAGCCTTCCAGCTGAAGTGGTAGAGGTTAACACAGTAAAGGAGTTTAAGCATGCGTGGGATAGGCATAAGGCTATCCTAGCTATAAGATAAGGCCAGGGACTAATGAAAGTATTTAGAAAATTGGGCAGACTAGATGGGCCAAATGGTTCTTATCTGCCGTCACATTCTATGTTTCTTATAAAGAAAGAATGGAAAATGCTAATTCTGTGCTTTTTAATAGAACTCTCAAATCGTAAATGGCAAAAATAAATATTTAACAGTCACATTGTATTCTTAAAATATTTTAAGCATAAAAATAATGATTTAAAAAATTATTTGAAAGAAAGCAAAAAAAAGCAAAAAATAATAATCCAACAAGCACCGCCAGTCATCTCCCTAAATTTCCGAGGGAAAAAAAAATCTCTGAAAGAATATTGATGTCAAAGGAAAAATACAGCGTTTTCAGGTATAGTTACCATTTTTTTCTGATGTTCTCAGAAATATCATGTCAGCTGGAATCCTCTGGTTCTATATATTTATTTAAAAAAAATACATATATTAACATTTTTATTTTAGGAAACTAAATAACAGAACATTCATGCCATAATAATAACATATACATTGTTTCATGTTCAGGCCACAGCTGAATTTTTATTGGTGATTTATTTGTATTTAAGCTCTTTAGAACTAATGACATTTCCAGAATGTCCTGCCCATATATTGACTGCAGTCCCATAGAGCAGGGGTCGGCATCCTTTGTCACTACAGAGATTATAGACCACATCTCCCCAAATGCCTCTATAGAGTCGCTGATGGAAAATTACGGTTACATTCTACACACGGACCAAAAGGACAGCAGGCAGTAGGGACCAGTCTGAGATAACAAAAAAATGAATCAGTGTCCAAGGGGTTAAAGTGAAGCCTAAATATATATGTTTTATCCCGATGGATAATTTTTTGAATTCACTAGAAAACAATAAAAAAAATATGTGATCGAAGAAAAACAAACAAACTTGGAAGTGCAACTGTAGCAAAAATCTGAAATGTTGAGGATTTCCTTCTGCATATGCGATCCACGTACCTCCAACATTGAAAGATATGAGTTTGGGTGGAGTGCGGGCCCATAGGGGGTGTCACTGGCGATGCCCATAATGGGCAGCTTCCAACATAGAGGACCTTAACAGAAGTGATCTCTGCAATGTCCTAGTGCCCGTTAACAGTGTGTCCAATGATGGACTTTCACTGTGCTGCCCAAGTTTGGACGCAGGACACCAGGGAACTAAATCGGGACTGCCCCACTGGAAACAGCACTGTTGGGGGCCTGGAAACAGCAACCACAAACAATTATTTTGGCCATCACTAGGCCGCTTCACTGAGGTGCAGCTGATACCCCTCTAGACAAGTGAGCAAGGGACATAGGGAGACCCTGGATCCAAACATGCACATGGACACACAGTCACACAAACCTTTTCTACAATAATCAGATCTCCTACTTGAATGCTGGAACTTCTGATTTTAACAGTACCTAAAAGAAAAAAAGAATACAAAAGACATTTGATTCAGTATTTTTATTTTTTGTTGTATTTTTAACACTATTAATCCTAACTTTATCATGTAATTTAGTTGTGTAGTTCCATCGGAGAACAAGTGTATTTGATCGGCTCCTTGTTGCACTGTGGACATGGAATCTGAAGCAGTCTGAGGTTCAGTGTAGGCGAATAGATTGAACTCATGGACAAGCGTGAGGATTACTGAATTCAATACCAGTAAGCATAGCCAGCCCAACATTAGATACAGAGAGTGTGCGTGTACAGAGAAGGGGGGCTCTATGCCATGCTTGTCTTGCTCACTCACATTCTGACTCATACAGGTTAGACATGCGCATTCATTTTTGGACAATTTGAAAAGTTTACCAAAAAGGTTGGTTTTCGTTTATTTCAATCAAAAACAAATAATGGTCAGAATATTAACGAATGAATGAACGTATGGGTCTGTGTACACATGTAATTCGATGCCATTCGTTGAACATACTGCTGCTGTTCTGAGTAAATTAATATCCATCGCCCTTTAGGGGATTGTTGTGACTGAACTATTTTAGCTTCATTCATTTTAAATAGAGATGAAAAATTTTACTAGGTTTCAGACAAACCAAAACAAACATTTCTAATATTTGATTGGGAAGTCCCCAAATCCTGGACAGTGGCTGGGCTTCCAGGACGCGGTTAGGAAAAATGGTTCTAGACTACATCTGTCTGAGTGATTGCAACAATTTTCTGTTCTCCACCTTTCCCTGCAAGTGAACATGACATTCTAATTCATTTTTTGAATTTACCACCATTAATTCTTAAAAAGTACAGCTTCCATCCAAACCATCTCAATGTCAACTACAGACTCCCAAAAGCCTCACTTCAAGCCTTTTAGTAATAAGTGAGACAGAGGTTCATTCATTGTAGCAAAGAAAAAGGCAACAATAATAAAAATACAAAACTCACTTTGAAGTCATTATGAATAATAAATTATTGCTAGAATAATACAATGGTTGAAGAAGATATAACATTCTAATTTTTATTTTAGTATCGTTAATCGGATTCCTGATTGGCGTTCACCCCCACTAGAGGCATGGGGTTTATAATAGCCAGTAATGTGAACCCAGTCTTCATAAGTTAGGTCTGTTTGATTTCAACCAGTGCCTGCTGTATTAGGCTTTCATGCGGTGGGGCCCCCAACACGCCAGCTCCTCTGACACTGAGGTCATACGTACGGTACCCTCTGATTCATGGGCTTGCAGACTGCAGGAGGATATGAACAGCAGTCAGAGGTAAATGTCATTTTACCATGTCAGCGTCCTTGCTCAGATTATAATGGGAAGCTGAGATTCTAGATCAAAATGGTTATTAAAATAATATCCAAACATAGAATGCCATGCAGTGATTGACTGAGCTGACCAGGCAGGTTAAACATTGCCACAAACACCCAGGGAATTTAGGGAGTCTTTATACCAGACACAGGATGCCGTTGCCAAAGGGAGCCCCCCAAAAAATCTTAGCTCTCAGCTTTCATCTCTCTGGTTTGATTTCCCTGCTAGAAGGGCAAAGTTTGAAATTCACCCTTTAGAATCCTGTGTGAGTGATGTCTTTCCAGTTTCCACAGAAGCTCTCCTACATCCAGGGAGAATACTGAGAGAGCAAGTACCCAAATACTTTGTGTATGGACAGGGGACGAGAGCCCAGCACTCAAAAAAGGAATAATAATAAGAAGAACATAAAGTTAATTAGCCGAGCATTACTCAATCACTTATATGGAAAACGTGGCTTCTGTCAACAGCATTTTAAATTAAATTAAACAAAACAAATTAAAATATCTGAATGTGAAGTACAAGCAAGCGAAAAAATTAATCTGCAGGAGGAACTTGAGCACATAACCAGTTAAAGTAACATTATAGTGTTCGGTATGAAACCAGTTATATATATATATATACACAGAGCTCTGTTACGTATGACAGCGTCCTTTTAACTGATTCACTGCGGTACTACTCTAAATAAAGTGCTTTTAGTAATCCCCAGCTGTGTAGGCCATGTGGACTAGCTTAGCTCTAGATTAATATGACATATTTTCAGTAAAAGTTCTAAGACCTTGTTTTTAGGTTACTTTCCAATGTGACCATATTGGTTCTGATACTTTCTGACAATAAACGGGTTCAATGTTTACCAGACGTAACGTAACGTAACAATAAGATGAACAGATGTTCCATGGAGTCAGGAGCATCAGACCATCAATTAGGACACCTGCCCGCACCAACTCTGCACTCAGCTCCCTTGGCTGCTTGTCTGAGCTGTCAGCAGTAATCACCCATCCAAAACTTCCCTACTGTTCCCCTACCCTTAGAGAGGAAGCAACAAAATCAGCTAAGGGCCAACAACCTGACCTCTGGCTGTGAGCTTGCTGTAGATCTGCGAGTTGACTTCCTTATCACGTACAAAACATCGAATCTCCTCCACTGCCTCTCGAATGATGGTGACCGCGACCACAAACCCCTATAAACAGAGGCAAACAAAATACTCAATTAATTCCGATCAACAACAAAAATTACTTTCTCTTTACTGTTTTTTTCTGTAAAATATTTAACCTGAATCAGATTACTATTTTTAAATATTTACCTTTTAAGGCTTCAATGGTGTGTGTGTGTTTTGTTTTTTGTTTTTTTAAGAAAGAGGAAAACAAGGGATTTGCACACCTGAAGGGGTGGGGGAGTGAGGGGGGCGACTTTTCCTGGTTTATAATTCTGGTTTAAAAAGTTCAAATCTCCATAACATCTGGTTTAGTGATCAAATCTCATAGTTTCAGTAGCTGCTCATAGGGAATAGCTTCTAATTGTGAAATCAATGAAACGTTAGCACAAAGGTGGAAAATAATCAATTTAAAAGTGATTTAAACAAAACATTTATTTAGAAAAGTTGTTTTTGTAAACACATAACTAAACAAAACTAATATAATTACCACAAAAAAAGTAATATTAATAAAACATTCTCATCACTGGATACATTTTGGGTGCTCTATCACTACGCCTATCACCAGGCCCCATTTAGGAGTTACAGATGTCGGGCCGTTTATTCATTATTTTCAGTACCCAGTGCTTGGATAAAGTTCATTCATAGAGCAATGGCGTAATCCGCTGACTTTGTTCTGAGTTTGCAGCCATTATTTAAACGCTAATCTGGGTTTTGGGTTTAGACCAGGTGAATCCAGACCAATTAAAATTAGTACTTTGTCCTAGTTACAGCAAAGGCTGAAAGAAGACGTGCATAGCCAGTGATGTGGCGAAACCTATCAGTATAGCGTTCTTGCCATGGTTGCCAGTTGGATGGATACAGAGAACAAACAAACAATGCAGTCTACCTCCTTAACCCCTTAAGGACCAAACTTCTGGAATAAAAGGGAATCATGACATGTCACACATGTCATGTGTCCTTAAGGGGTTAAACAAGAAGTATGGAGGAAGGGATACAATACATTACTCTGCAGGCTTCTGTAGCCAGACTGAAGAGATCCACTTCCTCATGACTGGCTGGGCCGTAGCTGCCATTGGAGGATTCACACCATGGCAGATTACAGACTTTGCACATAACAGGTTGTAACGGACAGTGTGTCGAAGAGACACATTATATGGAAGGGCTACACCAGAGATAGACTATGGATTGAGCACAAAATTAGTTCAAATATTGATTCGGTTTGTACCGAAAAATCATTTTTCATTATTTAACAAATTTCTGTTTGAACTATTAATTATTATAGGGAATGGCTATATCCAGAAATGGCAGTCACAAAACTCCTATAAGTGGAGATATCAAAATGGGAAGTTTAAGAAATTGTTTTTTTATGAAAATGTAAATTTAAATGATTCCATCAGTTTCAAACACTGAAAATAAGTTATAGTGAAGGAACACTATAGGATCAGGAACACAAACATGTATTCCTGATATTACAGTGTTAAAACAACCATGTAGGTGGCTTGTCCCCTTAGAAAGGGTTAAAACTTACCTTTTTTCCAGTGCCATGTGGGTCCGCAGGTGCTGGTGCTGGCCCTGCCCTCGATCCGCCCCTTTGGCTGACATAATCAGAATTGATTATCGCAGCCAAGTCAATGCTTTCCCATAGAGGGAATCACCAAGGAGGCAGGATGGGGGCAGGGTCAAACACATCCCTGGCCAATCAGCATCTCCTCATAGGGATGCATTGAATTATGGTATCTCTATGGGTAAAGTCAGTCACACTGTGCAGCACTGCCCCAAAAAGCACCTCTAGCAGCCATGTGAGGAGTGGCCAGTGAAGTTATCACTAGGCTGTCATGTAAACACTGCATTTTCTCTGAAACAAACCGTGTTTACAGCAAAAAGCCTGAAGGCAATGATTCTACTCACCAGAACAAATTCAATAAGCTGTATACCGTATATTAAGCTGTATACCGTACATTAAGCTGTAGTTGTTCTAGTGACTATAGTGATCCTTTACATTACTTATATTTATTTTTACAATATAAATAAAGAATAGATTTTACTTATTCGTGCACCCAGAAAGGCAGCAGTTATTAATGAATGAACGAATGTCACCGAACAAAGTTTGGTTGTAGTTCTATTTGATCACTCATTAATTTACCAACATATATTTGTTTTCATCCAAGTTTGATAAAAATAAAATATCTGTTAGATTTGTGCAATCGTTTTCAGACAAAAAGAAAATGTTAACATATTAGGGACATGGTATATCATTAGGAAGTTGTGTTGTGGATTAATAAAACAGTATACACTAAGTTCATAAATGGACCAGTTGAGCGTGTGACACACAGAAATACAGCGTATACAGTTTCTCTCTATAGAGGTTTTTGTTAGAGCATAAATATTGCAATTCTATGTACATTGGTATAACATTATTTTACGTCATTGAAGGCTAAAACGTTTTTCAAAGCAAAAGGTACAGTTTAGAAATTTAGAATTTGCTACTCACCAAAGGAACCCAGAATGTATATAGAGGTCCAAGTCGCATCTCAGGTACAAATTGAGAACAGGCCAACAACAAGAAGTAGAGATTGAAAAAGTATTTGAACTGGTTAAAGAGGATCTAAAGTCAAGAAAGAGAATATTTCATTTATTTTAATTTTGTGAAATTACATAATATTTATTTTGTCATTAAATGTAAAAAACACAGCTGTGCAGAAAAAAATTAAATATAAAATGGTTAAACAAGTATTTAAAAAAAATATATATATATTAAATACAAAAAGAATGAAACTTTTTAGTAACTATGTAAGATTTTTGGATACATATGTGTTTTAACATAGTTATATAATTATATATTTATTTATTTTAAATGGTCACTGGAGAAATGCAGACACTTGTTTAATAACTGGAGGATTATTTTGCATTTACTAAGTTTGGTTGGTTGGTATATATTAAGTTATATTTTTATCCAACTGCACAATGTTTTTATGATTTGGTTTTTTTTGTGGATTTTTTTTCTTCCATAAAAAGGTCAAAAATTCAAACAATTATTTCTAGGAAGTCCACATCTGCTCGCCCCTTACTGTCCAGCAATTAAACTCAATTTGCAGGATTGGTACCACCCTCCACCCAGTGTAAGGGGGCCCGGAGGATTTACCAGCAGCGACTGTGAAAGCAGCAGGGTATCAAACACAGGGAATGTGGCATTTGTAAAGCTAATTAGCATATTTATTATCACACACAAAATGTTCACAAAAACAACTGTAACAAGACAACTCTTGCGTTACAATGAAAACGGCACATGGAGAATGCTGGCTCCCAGCCTGTCCAATGAAATTATTATACATTGTCAATGCCCTGCTGGGCTGGAAGGGCAGGGGGTGAATGTTAAAGGTTAGGACAGAATAAAGAAATACAGTTAAAAGATAAAGCTGTAGAATAAGCTATGGGGACTCCTGAAAGGCCTCAGAATTCCATAATAGAATAGTTGTGTTTATTGTATTTTGCAGCTTAGTCCGTATATAATACACTGCCTGCACAGGGGAATCCATTCTTCTTTTAGATAACTGAATGGGGTGTAAAGAGTATGAAGGATAATAAGCAAAGAAACCTAAAGGCGCATTCACTAAACTGTGAATTGCAGAGAGTTGACGGTTAAATAACACAATCTCCAATCACAGCCATGCTCCGCGCAGCGCATACATGTCTATACTTCACTATTTTCCAACTAAACATTGCCCCCACCATATTGGGGAAAACAAAGTGATTTTTGCTGTTCCTGCATTGTAATATTTATATTCCGTGGGAACGAGAAGCTCCAGTTTGTAGAATGTTTTGAAGTTTTTTTTTCAAAAAACCATAACTACTTCAGTGATTTAACGTGATCAAGGTGTCTGGAGTGAGTATGTGCACCATTTTGCTATGAAACGCTACAGAGTTTAATCCCTCTACCGCCATAGATATAACTCCACCTAAGGCAGCGTCATTGGGGCGTCATTAGCCACCCATTCCTATTCTCAGAATGGCAATCGTTGGTCGAGTGCGGTCAGCTGAGGCTCTCAGCAGACGAATAGGCTGGCAGAAACGACATCCGGCTTTCCAGGAGCTGGATGACGTCACTGGCCATATAGGACCCTCACAGCCGGCAAAAGGGCAACATTTGATTTGGCGCTGTTGGTGCGTTATAAATAAAACCTACAGCAGGCTATATAGTTATGACTCCAATGGGAAAATGGAATTAATTATTATAAATGCGGTTCCACCCAGAACTAGTTCTAGAGTTCTGTGAGAATGTAATTAATATTCCGTTAATTCTTATTTAATCTCGAATTTGTAGAATTTCTCTGGTTTTGCTTCTGTCGGGGGACGATGTACGGAGACGGTTCTTACCCCGGGAAGAAATGTAAAGAAGTTGTATTTCTGATTGTTGATGACATTTCGGGGGTATCTCTGCTCTCTTTTTTCGGGGTGACCAAGCCAGACTGTTCGAGGCTTCAATTCTCTGCGGCCACAACACCTCAAACACTCGCAGCACCTGAGAACATAAAATATAAGGATTTATATCAAAGCCAAATAAAATGAAATAAACGGTCTGGCTATGTTTAAAGGTTTCTATTTTCCATAAATAAGAAAAAGCTTCATTTTGTGTAAAAATAAATCTATGCATAGCAGTTTTCTTGGGGTTTTTGACTAGAGAGAGAATTGTACCTTGCTTTGGAATATGTTGCCGCTATATGAACAATTATTCAGGTTAGTAATTAATTGACAATAATTAACATTTTTACCTCATTAGATTTCCATATTAATATACAGAGGGGAAATTGATCAAAGCCTCTCGTTATCCTTTGTTGGAGGAAATGGGAAAATCCCTAATGTTATTCTAGAACAACAATGAATTATTCAGGAATATAGAACACTTTGATGGTTAAGCCCATTCACAATACAGGAGAATAGATTTTATTCACACAGATCGCGTTATACACAAACACTGAATTAGCCGACGAAGCAGTTTTACTCTGCAGGATTTAGTCCATAGAGAGGGCTTGGCACGTACAATCTTAGAACTTCCGTAAATAATCAGAAAAATATTACCTCTTCAATAACTGTACGCTCAGTATGGCAAGGCCCTCTCCACCTACTGTTTTAGTATATCAAACATGTTTTGCTGGTCTTATTTACTGATTGTACAGCACTGCGGAATATGTTGGTGATATAATCGCAGTAGCACAATAGCAATGTAATCGCCCATCACAAATACTCACTATCGGTGGTCATTAGGTGTTTTAATACCAGTGGATATTCTTAGGTGCCGAGAATTAAAGGTACCGATTCATATGTATTGCAGACAGTAGGTAATCCATTCATAGCAAATCACAGTATAATGTGACGTACTAGCTATGTAACCGGTCATTAATGGGTTAACAGTAAAAGCACTGAGAGGTGTGAATGTATCATCCGACCAGTATAAAAACAGATCATAGGTCTATTTCAAATCTGCTCATTCACAAAATTAACACCGTCCCATAACCCTGAGACTGAAGTAAGACCTCTGTTCCATGAGGTCCCAGGTGTATTATTTTTTTTTTGGCCAAAGTTGTTGACCTTGGCCAGTAACCGTTTAATAACTGCAGGAATCTCCATGCAAAACATGTGTTGAGGGGCTCCAATACCTCCCGACAGTCACAGATTGAGCAGAACAGTCCCCATTTGGACCTATGTCCTTCTTTAACATCAGAGACAGGTCCATTGTAAGCAGAGGATGGATGTGTCATCCTAGGAGCACACAGCCACCAGCGAATATTCTGGGCCTCTCTGCATGGATTGCCCAGTTGGCTGTCAATGGTCTATGGGAGCACAGTCCACTGCGCTGAAATGTCCAGTATTTGGCTGTGTAGTAGTACATCATCATAATGCACACTGGATCTTAAATAAACAAGTACTTTGTGCACATGCTAGCTACGGTGCAGCATTTCTGTCAACGTTGGGAGGTATGACATCATGATCTGACATGCAAGCTCGCAGAGATATGAAGTCATATCCAACCGTCTCTCTGCCTCATGCACAGACTGCAATTTACACCAGGCCTTTAGTTACCACAACAGAGCTGTTTTTGGACTACTTGCCCAGTTTAGGCCAACGTGTCCCATTCATATCTTGGTCCATATGATGTCACACCCCAGTTAGCAGGATACAATGAATGCTCCAGGATGCAAGAAAAAAAATAAATCTTTTAAGGTTAAACAAACTGTTTACACAATGAGCTGGCCCGGTCTAAACATCACAGCTAGCAATGTCACTTAGCAAGTCTCCCTTCCCGTGCGAGAATCCATTTCCAGCATCACATAGCATTTACGCTCAACTTCCATCAGTGGACTAACAGGCTTTGCAGGTTTATCTGCTTACATTGGACTCTACACGGTTATAATCTTTCAGAACTATGTGTAGCCATGCAAAAAAAAAAAAAAAAAGATTAATTGTTTTTGCTGCCCTTATCTGTAGATTATTTTAAGTCTCAGCATTTATGAAACTCAATCTCTCCACAATTAAAAAGCAAAACAACATCTTTTAAAGGGGCACTGTCACTGTCCAGAATTTTTAATATATATTTTATCCATCCCCTAGAATTAACAAAATGTCGGGCACGCGGACTGCTTAAGGAGAAGCCCCATGAGGTTTGATGGAGCGAAGTGGGTAAGTATAGCGCTCGCGCTAGGGGTTAAATGCAAGTTAGGGTTAAATACAAGGCAGCTCGCGCTGGCAGTTAAGGCGGCAAGCTCGCGACCAGGGCATGAGCCCTGATTGGTAGATAGCAGCGCGAGGGCAATATTGGAGGGAAAATAGGGGATATAAATTGGAGGGCGCCAAATTAATTGCCTCAGATTGTGCCAGACAAATCCGAAGGTTAGCTATATATTAAAATATTTAAGCTGCTGTTTCTTACCTTTGGAGATGTCTGGCACAATTGAGGCATTATTAGAACAGCTTAAACAAAAGGCTTTAGGCTGCAGTGATACTGCATGGCTACAGGCTTGCTTAGAGTCCGCCCCCAGCACCTCTGGTCTAATTGAAGTAGAGGAAGAAGAAGGGGCTGAGCTACAGGAGGAGTTAATAATGGAGGAGGGAGCAGGATATTCCCCTCAAAAAATTAAAGGGCCAGTGCAAGAAAGAAAATCTGGTGATAGCGACCCCTGCAGGATTCGTGAGGCAAGAACGAAGAGGTCCAGGGAAACCTTCTCACCGTCTCCAATAAAGAATAGGAAGAGGATGTGGAAACAGGGCAGAAAATACGAACAAAAGAAGAAGAATAAAGAGGCTGAGGACAGACCTAGGCTATTCGAAGAGAGCGAAGCAGCTCAGGATATCCCAGGTTGCAGTCATGAGCTGGGTGAGTTACAAGCAAATGTGAATAATGCTGTTTTCGGGGAAGTGGTGTCTTCACTTGAGAAACTTACAAAATTATTGCAGACACCTAAATTAGCGAGAGTATGGGAGCCTGATACAGAAGTGGTCACAGTTAATCCAAAAGTGACACATTCTGTGAGGGAAGAAGTTAGAGTAAAAGAGACATGCATGAAAGAAGCTTTAGGTTGTGAAAGCTCCCCTCTGGGTTTTCATTTAAGTAAGTCTATAAAGGATAGGATATGGAAAGGGGAGTATATCGATATTCTATCATTATTGCCCACAGCCAGAGAATTTACTAAACCCGACAGGGAAAAGGGGGATGAGGAGAGGAAAAAGTTTATTCGAGGTCTTTCAATAATTGGCTGCAAGCTTTTTGCATTTATGCTAGCGTGTTAGGCGAAAAATATCCAGAATTGTGCTGTGGGCTATTTCAACATACAGAAGCTATTTTGGAGGCATATAAAAATTTTGGGGGTTTGTCATGGTTTTATTATGATGAACAATTCCGACAAAAACTAGCAGTACATAGCAACCTTAAATGGGGTATGAAGGATGTCGGACTATGGGTGAGCATGATGTTACCGCAGAGACAGCCTAATTTTGTTAATAGGCAGGTTACAAATGTTGCACAGAAAAAAGGTTTTTGCTGGGCTTATAACGAATCACAATGTAAGTGGCTGAATAATTGTAGATTCCGGCACGAATGCGCTTCCTGTTCAGGTGCGCATCCTAATTTTCGCTGCTATAAAAGAGGACAACAAAGTGGTACATTTCCAAAAAGCACAGACCCCAGTGAAAGTGGTAAGGTTACTACCTTATCTCGCAATCTATCCAAACCGGGAGAAAGCCAAATTAATTAAAGAAGGTTTTGAAAATGGTTTCAGGTTACCTGTATATAGTTCTGTTGAATTTTGTTGGGTTGAGAATTTAAAATCAGTTTTAGAGTTACCAAGTTTAGCCTGGGAAAAGATTTGCAAAGAGTTAGAGTTAGGGAGAGTTGAGGGCCCTTTTAATGTTCCTCCATTTAAATGTTTTCGGTTATCCCCTCTGGGTTTGGTTCCAAAGAAAGAACCCGGGTCATATAGACTAATACATCACCTATCATACCCCAAGGGAGGATCTTTAAATGACATGATTTCTAGAGAAGAAAGTTCAGTGTCTTATTCAACTTTTGATAAGGCTTTAAATTTGGTAAGAAAATGTGGAAGGGGTGCTTTGATGGCGAAGGGGGATATAGAATCTGCCTTTCGACTCTTGCCGATTCATCCCGAATCCTTCAATTCACTAGGTTTTCAGTTCAAGGGCCAGTATTTTTTCGATAAGTGCCTGCCTATGGGTTGTGCACTGTCATGTTCTTATTTTGAGACCTTTGCGACTTTCATGGAATGGATTATTCGGTATGAATCAGGTCAGCAGCAAGTAATGCATTACTTGGATGATTTTTATTTGTGGGCACTAAGGATAGTGACAACTGTAAGAATTTACTAGAAACATTTAGAAGGGTGGCTGGTCATTTAGGAATCCCATTAGCAGAGGATAAAACGGTTTTACCCACATTTTCTTTGCAATTTCTGGGAATAATGATTGATTCAACAAAAATGGAATTTAGGTTGCCGGAGGATAAGATACTGAAAATGAAGATGCTGATTCAGCAGGTAATGGGCTGTGAGAAGGTGACATTGAAAGTTTTACAATCTCTGTTTGGTCTGTTAACATTTGCTTCAAGGGTTATTCCAATGGGGAGAGCTTTCTCCAGGAAGTTGGGGATAGCAATGTCTAAGGTTAGGTCCCCATTTGCACACATTAGGGTAACAAAAGAATTGAAGCAAGACCTTAAAGTATGGCATAATTTCCTAACAGATTTTAATGGAAGATCAATGTGGCAACAAGAGTTTATAGATTCGGATAGTCTTGAGCTGTTTACAGATGCATCTGGTGCTATTGGTTTTGGCATATATTGGAATGGACAGTGGTGTGCACAAGAATGGCCGATTCTTTGGGCACAGGAAGGCTTAACCAAAAACTTGACATTGTTGGAATTGTTTCCAATTGTAGCCGCAATATATCTATGGGGAGGAGCATGGAGAAATAGGCGGCTGATCGTCACTTGTGACAATCTAAGTGTAGTAATGGTAATTAATTCCTTACAGTCTAGGTGTAATAGAGTTATCAATTTACTTAGACACTTAGTGTTAAGGTGTTTTCAGCTGAACATATGGATAAAAGCTAGACATATACCAGGCAAAATCAATAGGCTGGCTGATGCTCTCTCACGATTGCAATTGCAGGAATTTCGAAAATTGGCACCAAGAGCAGCTGCGGAAGGAACCCAGTTCCCGTCAGACCTTTGGGATTTGATTGGGGACAGTTAAGTGTGATGCTGATGAATTCAGTAGCTGTTTCTACGTGGAGTACATATGTCAGAGCATGGAATGAGTGGTTCAAATTTAATCAGTCAAACAATAAAGATCCGTTTGGAGAGGACAAGGAGAGCGCAATACAATTTACATTGGTGTCAATGCAGAAAGGTTTCTCTAAGTCCAAGTTAGCTTGTAGTTTAGCCGGGGTGGATTTCTTTAGGAAGCTGTGTGAATGTAAACCAATTAAGCAGTATTTCATAGTTAATCAGTTAGTTCGAGGTTATAGAAGAGCCAGTAGAGTAAGGGATAACAGAAAACCAATATCGTTTAAGGTGCTATCACAGTTATTTGTAGTCCTGGAGGAAGTATGTTATTCTGAGTATGAGGTAGTTTTAATTAGATGTTCATTTATAATAGCTTTTTTCGCAGCGTTAAGAATTAGCGAGTTAGTGGCTAAGAGTAAGTTTTGTTTGTCAGGTTTACAATGGGAAGATATTATAGTTAATGATAGGAAAGTGATGGTATTCATTAGAAAATCTAAAACAGATCAGGAAGGCAAAGGAAGATGGTTAACATTGCTGGAGATTAAAGGTTCTTTTTTGTGTCCGGTTAAGGTGACAGAAAATTACTTGTCAATTAGACCAAGGGTTGAAGGTCCTTTTTTCATGCATAAGGACACCGTTCCGTTGACTAAGTTCCAATTTGAAAAGGTCTTCAAGTTGTGCATAGACAAGTTAAAGTTAGGCGATGAGCGTTATTCATCTCATTCTTTTAGAATTGGAGCGGCAACAGAAGCAGCAAGGTGTGGTTTAAGTGATGGAATGATTCAAAGGTTGGGGAGATGGGAGTCTAATAGATTTCAATTATACGTCAGGCCTCATTTGATATAAAAAAAAAAAACGTTAACGGTTCTTTGTTATTAAAGTTTATGGATGTATATGAACATTGGCGTATATATGTTAATAATCTTCTTTTGCTAGGTAAT